CTTTTTCTAAATTTTAAATGAGTGTTTTTACTTGCACCTGAATAGTTCTTTGCTCGTTCCATTTTTTTTTTGCATTCTTTTTGTTCACTTTTTTATTTCTTAATTTAATTTGCTTGTTCTTAAGCTTCACCTCATTATCCTCTTAATGGAATTCTGTCATTTAATTCCTTTTAATTTATTTTTGATAATTCCTTATTTAATAGTTCGATGCTTTGTTCATATGTCATTGCAATAAGCATCTTTTCGTACTGTTGTAACAATAAGTTTATATTTTCAAGTACAGTGAACCGATGTTTCAATCTACTGCAGGCACTGTAACAAATAGCAGCAACAATCAGATCAATCATTATTCTATCTGCAATATTCGTTCATTGTTCACCCTTTCGAGTTAAAGTTGTCGGATGGGTATTGTAAAAGACAAAATTTGCACAAAAATTTGTTATTTGTTAAGTCTATCACGCATAAGTAAGATAAAATTCTTTTGCACTCCTTGGGAAAGGAATCAAAAAATAACGTGAAAGTCATCGATTGCAGTATTGTTTACGTAAAGGAATGCTTGGGAGTTAAACTTGTCAAACAAGTCATAGTAGCTCAAATCTGTGCATATATAGATATAGATAGCTGATTCCTGGTGATTTATTTACACTGCATGGTTGATGTCAATAGCTTATTATCACCAATGTCATCCAGTACTTCTTCACCAGCGGCAACATCACAGGAGGACTACTTGCAGTGGGATATCTTCAAACTCTACGCTAAGGTATTGTTATTTTCTTCCCCTATTTAACCAAATGATTGGTTTTGCAGTTAGCAGATAGGTAAGTAAAGGGTAATAATCATTTCTTGGTAGTGGTGCAGAACTAGCTGGGGTGTCAAGATAATGAGAAGAGGGATTTTGCATAATGTAGCACCATTTTTTGAATTTATTGCCTTAGCACAGATAGCTGTCTGTCTACATTGGGAAGCATTTAAAAAGTTGTGAAGCAAGTGGCGTATTAAGTAGAGTTCGTGATGTGTACTATGTAAATAATAGCTGCTGCTAAGCGAGCAGAAAAATGACAGAGTATTGGAGATGATTTTTAGTTGCAGCAAGTACTATTCATTCACTTTTGTCATCAACATTATCCGGCTATTATTATTATTATCATCATCATTATCATTATTATTGTCAATTGTTGTAAGTAAGAACCATCGTCGTTGTCTCCATATATCGTACTGTAGCAGTAGTGTAGTTGAGCTGCGTTTAAGGACAAAAAGTGTCTTTGCAACTCACTTCAGCTGTTACCATCCTTTTTTGTTTACTTTTTATAGAAATGAACAAAATACATACACAAACATAGTCACTCACATTTATTTATATTATTATTTTTTTAATAGCATGTTGTTAAATATAAACGTGTGCAAGTGTGCAGGGCTTAGCGTCGAATAATACTGATTCATGACCGCACCCTGCGAATTCTTGGAAGGAGAATAAAGCTTTCGTCAGTTAGATATATACGCTTCGTTGCATTTGCGTGAGTTTAGTCTTTCATTGCGAATCTTTGTTTGGATTTCGTGCCACGCAGTACTTATCATTCTTAAGAGCAAAGTGAGAGCGTTTCAATATGCTAATACAAGCCATACATTTTATATTTATATTATTTATAATGGGAGTTCATGAGTGTTGTCAGTTGCAAAGCTCCAATCACATGTCGTTCGTGACCTCTAACTGCTACCTTCTCGAAGTGCTATTAGGATTAATTCGTCTTGATTTAGATGAACTTTCTGATGTGAAGAAGTTTAGCACTATTAAATAATCTGATAAAGAGTTGGCGATTTCCAAAAAAAATTCTGTGAAATACGCAGGAAAGAAAGAGAGAAGGAGAGAAGGAGAGAGAGGGTGAATGTTTGAAAGAACAGAATGATAATGTCTTTGTGATCTGGCACTGCTCCGAAGAGAAAGCCGATGAGGATAAGGAGCGAGAGAGCAGTGCTACCTCTCTCCCTGTCTTCTTCCCAAATCCGCCTTGGTTTGATCACGTTGCCCCTGTTTGCATCACTTCGACTGCTTGAGACCGGTAGCGGCGGCCTCTTGCGTCTGCTCTAACAATGGATCGTACGTCTAATGATTCGCAGCAATAAGTACGCATTTCCTGCTTAATTACTTTGCATTATGCAATCAATCAACTATTCATTTATATCCATATTTTGAGTATAAAGTAGTAGGAAATGGTTATGGAAAAATTTGTCGCGAGATTATTTGTCGCCTGTTGCAGAAAGAGTGAGGTCTTCGTGTAAAGTTGCTTTTTGGACTACTTTATATTTTTGGTACTGAAACAAGCATGAAGTTCATACCGTTCAAGTTTCGCTTAAAAACCTGGACTGGAAGTGCGAACAAACTCATAGTACTTACTTCCCTCTTTTCTCTTTTGTATACATAACTTTGATACACTAAACCATATTCACATCACAGCTATGCAAAGTCGGATTTTCCAAACAGACTTGTGAAGGGTTTTGTGATCCACGCATGGAATTACGCTTGGATATTTCTTCATATCATAAGATAGTATCATTAGATTAAGATAGCTGGAAATTACTTTCGTTGAATCATCTGGATAGTTTTGTCGGAATGACATGTGTTTATCCAATTTTGCAGCGAAGGAGAATGCAGTTGAGATTTGACGCTGTTCTTAAATAGTAATTTGCGTCTGTTTCAGAGATTTCTTCAAACTGCATTTTGCTACGAAGCAGTAACAGAAATGCCTGAAAATTAAGCCAGCTGAACTTCCTCTCTTGCTAGTTTAACTTAAAGTTTTTGTGGTTTTTATGATTAACTTCCAAGTGTGAAATCGCTTAAAATTTCAAGTGTTGTTGAGTTTTAAATTATTGTGATTCGTTGTTAGGTTTTGTATTTGTAATAAGCAACTTTGGTCTTCGACATATCTATTTTCTTTCCTATCTCTCGTCTATAAACTTGTCAATTCATACCAAAAAGGACAAAAATGAAGTTATAATTCAAATTAAACAAGTTTTTCACTCGTAGTTTGCTGCAAAATTGGGCGGATCCAGTTGGATGAAATGATGAAAAAAGTTGTGCATTGCTCAAATGTCAGAAATTAATGCACTCATGATGGAATCATGCCATATTTCTAGCAAGAGACATCTGTGGTTTTTTATTTTATTTAGAACTCTTATTAATTTTTTTATATTAGTAACTAAAGAAAATCTTTAAAAAATTTTACATATTAGTAAGAAGCAGTGCAGTAGTGTGCTTTTACTAGTATAGCTATGAGATCATGATTCAGCTCTGATTGTACTTGTACCGCATTGAACTTCCTAGGAAATCACGTGGCAAAGTGCAGTGGGAAAGTAAGAAATTAGAATTTTCAAGGGAATGTTGAAAAAATCATCGGAACTTTCGTTGCCATCTTGTACTTGATGGTGGTTACTCAAGAACATTTGTACTCTGGTAAGTGAAAAAGTTTTGGGTGCTGCAAAGTACAATTAAAAAGGGAGCCTATTTCTGGATGAATTTACGCTCAGCTAAGTAAAGTTTAACTTTTCTTCCAAAGTACAACTTCTTCATTATGTGATTCGCAAAATAAATAATACAAAAAACTTACGGAACTCAAACAAATTACACTTTCTCTCTTTATTTTTCTACTTCAAATTAAATTGGCTAACGAGTGACAGGAAAAGGCGATGATTATGGAAATTGTTTGAGGGGAGAGTCAAGAGAGTAGATCTGCGCGTAGTATGTAGTCGAAAGTCGTGGCGGAAGGAAAGAGGATTCTTTCGTTCTTACTTGCAAATAATAACGGACTGATCAGTTATTATCATTTGAAAAATTTACGCCTGGAATGAGGATTTTTTTTATGAATTCAATAATATCAGTTCATATTTGCTGTAATTGATTCTTCCGTGACTTTTCTTGTTTATGATTTAAGCTAACTGAACTCATAATTGATATCAAATCAGTATTATCATTTGTGATAGGAGTTATCTGTTTATATCAATTTTTATCTCTTTATAATTGTGTTTTGTCAATTTTTTGAAAATTGTCGCTTAGTTCTGAGCAAAAATAAATAGCTATCTTTTTGATGGAATTTGTCATTTATATAAGCAGTGTTAGTTCTCTTAAAATCATCATTTTCAGCAGCAGATGAGCACGCCAGATGATCCGGTAATACATAGTCCAAGTTCGGTACATAACGGACCGGCAGCAGTGGCACTTCTCGCGGGTTCGGGAATCAAAACTTTACCTGGTGAGAGTTTAGGAACGACAGGTAGTGGTGTAGGAAACATACCGGTGGGTGTTTCATCAGCAGCAGCTATACAATCAGCAAATCCTGCTATGCGATGCAATGGTCGTTCTGGTATTTCCGCGAGTTCGTTGCCGGCAGCCGCTGCAGGCAATCTTTTGCGATTATTGAAGGGTATATATATACACATATCAAATTGTCGGTATCATTTTTTTCATAAATATGTACACATATAGGGACAAAATATGCAGAACTGTTAGTTTATCGTGACAAATATGCTCAAAATATACTTTATACTATCGATGTTTCTGTTTCGTCTAGTCTTTTTAAGTTCATTGCAGGTTTTGTAGGCATAATTAGGAAATGAAGGAAGTGGAAATGTGACATTTATTTTATTATACTCAATTAGTTTTTCTTGTCGCTGATCATCTCTTGAGGATTTAAGTTTCTGTTCCAAGAATAATAACGAATGCTAAGGTAACTAGATAGAAGTTGAGCAGAAAACTTTTTTCTACTGAATTTGTGCCATTTTTTTCAATTTAAAATGGGGAATGGTGGTTGCAAAAATATAAAGAAAAATATTTGAACTGAAACATCCACCCATTTGTATGTATTATTATGAAAGTGTTCCGTTCATTCAATATTTTTTCTTCAAAAGCTTCCGAAATTTCTTTCACTAGTAATATGTATGACTTTTTATCAGTTTTAGTTGATAATTCATGCTGTGATTTCTTCCACACATTTTAATTAACTGTTTCAAAGTTTTTTGAGTGTTATCAATTCTCAACTTAACTATATTTCACTTCAATGTGCAAGTTTTTAATTCTAGAAAAAAATTATTTTAATAATAAAAGCTGCAGTAATATATTGCAAGAAAGAAATTAAAGCAGGATTGTTTTTCTCTACATAAGACTTATTTTTCAGCAAGAACAAAATGATCTGGATTAATTGAAATTAAGCATGACTTTAATGATTTTGTTTTAGGTGGATTATCAGGTGTAGGTATGAATGTAATAGATGAATTAGCCACAATGAATTCCCCAAGTCGTGTTAGTGGTGTTGTTCGTCAGAGTGCTTCTTCATCAAGTGGCTGTTGCTCGCCGAACACTGAAACTGGCACTGATGTTTGTGCTTCGTCTTTATTGTATTTGTATTTCATGCTTCTTTTTTTCCCCTAAATGTTAAGAAATAAGTCGTTTTTAGCATGCATTGTTAGGGTAAAAACATTCATAAAACATAAGAAGTAATTGTTGACTGAGTTTGGAATTTATATATAATTTGTAAGTATATTTTTTCATTGTTTTGTTATTCGCTTATAATCTCTCAGACAAAATCTAAAATTATTAGATTTCCATACTTACGCCAATTAGTAGCGAGTGCAGTGCGTTCCAAAATATAAGAGCTCTAAAATTTTAAATGCTCTATGTTTATGATATTTTTAGTTTTAATATTTTTTTTCCAGGAAGCTCGGCGCCGTCAGAAGACGTGTCGCGTATGTGGCGATCATGCAACGGGTTATAATTTCAATGTGATCACGTGTGAATCATGCAAGGCTTTTTTCAGAAGAAATGCTCTAAGACCTAAGGTTAACTTTTTTCTTTTTGAAACAGGATTAAATAAGATTTGTTTGATCAGGTTGTATAGTTGATTTTCACCTCATTTTTCTCTTTTTTAGATTCTGATAAACAATATGTCAAATATCACTTGTATTCTTTTTACTAATTGTGGTATTAAGTATTTGACATATTTCTGGAGACGGAGATGCTTGATTCTCATTTCAGGAATTTAAATGTCCTTATTCGGATGACTGCGATATCAATTCAGTGAGCCGTCGATTTTGCCAGAAATGTCGGCTTCGCAAATGTTTCGCTGTAAAAATAACTATAATTATCAGAATTTTTGGTTTATCATCCATAATGTATTCTTGTTCACTTTTTTCAAATATTGTTAAGAATGTCTCTTTCACTGTAAGTTGTCGAAAATTATAGATCGTTACCATGATTTCATAGTAAAATTAACGGTGTTTTGAGATCAACTAGGATCGTGAGCAATATTTTTACAATTGGAATTACCATTGACTTTTTTAAAAGTACTTTGTGCTTCAGGTGGGCATGAAAAAAGAATGGATTTTAAACGAAGAACAACTAAGAAGACGGAAGAATTCTCGGCTTAATCATATGCAACAGCAGCAAAGTCGTAATGTCAATTCTAATAATATTGGCACTGCCAATGTAACGACTACTATCGCAGCAAATAATGTGGGAAAATCATTAATGTCAATGAGTAATTCTACCTCAGATCAAGTTAACACTACTACTACTTCAACTTCAAGTACACCGCGTACGTCTAGTGCATGTTCAGTATTCTTTGTCATAAATTGTAAATTTTTCAAGTCAACGTCGGTTGAAGCAGGATCAGAAGATTTTGTTTGTGAAATAGATGTATCCGTGTGAAGTGATCAAGCACTTACAAATCTTTCTTTCAATATTTCTGTGAAATCTCAAAGTCTGAAATTAATTTTGATGTCATACAACATATTTAAAGTTTTAGCAACTATCTTCAATGCAACGCAAATAATTAATCGTAGAGAACTGGACCAGGCATTAGTCAGCTCATCTATTGTTCAAACGGTTTGTTTATCATTATCTAGTTGTAGTTTCAAACTTTGAGGCAAAAGGATTTATAATTTTAATTTTGGCATCTATTAGCTGCAAGATTTAACAAAAATAAGCATGAAGTCTAAATTGATTGAAAAAAATAATGAAATAAGTGAGTAAGTATATAAATATAAGTTAATATCCAATCAAATCAATACCAGTAGGAGGCTAATTTTCTTATTTGCATTATTGATTCTGGCGCTGGATCGTATTCTGGCATTCTCTCTGCACTTGCCGCGTGTTCAGTTCTGGTCTGCTAGTCTTCTCTGCTTCATCCTCGTAAAATCCGTGGCGTGGAGAGAGTGAGTTGCTTTCGAGCGTCGTACTGAGCACTATCTATTGAATATATGCCGCGGCGTTATCAGATGCACTGATTTCCTTTGGACAGCATTCATGGGAAGCTCGTTAGATCCCATCTCAAGTCACATCACATGCGGAATTATTTTCATCCTGCATTTCATCTTTGACTGAGTTTATAACAAGTATGTCGTACTTTCACCTTTTCTCGTTTCTCGGTCTTCACTGCAGTTAACCTGTCCTGAGTAGCGATGCCAACCTCTATCAGGATGACTTTATGCATCGCACGGCCTCATTGTCTCTTCTAGTATAGTCGTGATATAATATTTTCTCGCACTGCGTTGCTAGATGGACCATCGTATTCACATGTTCCCTACAGTGTTGACATAGGTATTTGAACGTAACTGTATCGTGCTTCATTTTATGGGGCAGTGTTTCTGCATCGTAGCCACATCGATAAATTATCCATTGAAGACAGCTTGTTCCTTCATCTCTTGTATAGCTTTGTATGATGAGTTTTATTTTTTGTCTCGGTGTGTATATAGGAGTGTTTGCAATGTTTGATTGTCTAAGAGCTTATACCTAGTACAATTAGACAGGGTCAATAATTGCCAAATACGCGTTGTGAGCGTTCTCCTGCTTCAAAATAGCCGCTTTCCTGGTAGATATGGACGTAGTATCTACAAGCACATTATGAAGTCGGAGAAACATACTCACTTCTCCATTCAATAATATGAAGCCATTGTCTTAGTTCATCCCTTGGCAAGTACAGTCTCGCTGAACTCACAGGTTGATAATGATTTATTTGGTAACTCTCTGATATCACAGTCTTTAACTTTCTTCGGTTTAATGGAAGAATGCTCTATCACACTCTTCAAGGGTTTTTTTCGCGTTCACTTTATCTGGTTTATTTCACGTCCCTGGGCTTATTGCATCAGCTAGATATTTCTCCTTTACATCTCTACAAGCTTTAGATTCATGTGGCGTATTTTGCTCGATCTGCGTGTCTTGTGTCTTGGCACACTTCATTGACTCCTCCAAGAACCGTTTCTTTGGGCACGGACGACCTGCAATACTGGTAATCACAGAATTCGGTTGCTTCTTCAGTTCTTGGAATTAATTGCACACAAGAACTTCTCGCTCCGCAGGGAACCACACAATGACCAATCCTTTCTCGGTATTCCTGCAAAACAGCGATGGACCGCTTTTCTCTTGACCACTTGCTCTGCCAAAACTCGATTACACGGACGAGTGCTACGAACGTGATCATTCTGCTGGAATTTGGTTCCGACACACTGGCAGAATGCTTTCTTACACCCTTCACGGAGCTTTTTCCAACCGCATCTGTTGTTCCATTCTTTTGTTTTCCAGATCTGGGTCTTTTCATTTTACTCTCCATTTCATGCTTGCTAACACAGCCGCTCGTAGTCAACCGCTTGAGTACTTGGCAAAGCCGAGAATTTTCATAATATATATAAGATTGAACTGTGTGATTTTGATATGTTCATGTTTTGTTTTGAAGTATTATACTTTTGTTTGATTTAGGGCAATTTGCTTCAGATGTTAAGTCCAACTAATTCAACTGTTTCACCTTCAGTCCTCTCATCCTCTTCTCCTGATTCTCCTACGCATAGTGCCCTTATCAGTTTATCTCAACTCGACACCAACAGTGATGCCGTATGCTTTTATTTTTACTCATTTTTATATTTGTTGATTCACTATACTTAGAAATTTTGAGGAAAATATCCAATCCTTCTATCCTTTTTTTTGAATCACACTAACAAATTTTTTGAATCTTTAGTGTTATTTTTGAGATACTATTGCAGCATTAAACCTCTTTTCTCTTCGCATCTTTTAGATCTGAAAATTGATTTGAAGTTTAACGGTTTTCAAAAAATTAAAATGGATGGCCGTTATCAATTTTTTTGTTTTGATGGGTTTCGCTGAATACTTTTTTAATGGTCTCAATTTAAACCAACAAATATTGGCACTTGTTTCTATCCCCTAGTTCTTTTAGTTTTTCACCTCGAAATTTTTTCTTGTGAACCTCTAGTGTTATTATTGTGAAATAATTGTCATATCTCTTTAGTTTCAGTATGAATCAAATCTAATGCGTTTGCAACGGCAGCAAGCAGCTTTAGCTGCAGGTGCAGCTTATGCTAGTTTGCGTCGGAACGATTGCAATTCAGTTTTAGTACCAGTGAGTTCTGCTTTATCATCACTGTCTCGACCAACCAGCGATACTTTTTCACTCAAAGGTACAATTTTTACGATTATCAGTATATAGGAATTGAGAAAAAAGATTTTTGGAATTTTTGTTCACTAGAAGATTATATCTGTATTTGGTGTCGAAAATGAAGATTTCAGGGAAGAATTTTTCTAGCAGAAGTTAATGAAACAAAGAAAATGTTTTTGCAGTCTATGATCATCGAATAATTTTTTAAATGTTTTTGCAGTCTATGATCATCGAATAATTTTTTTATATGAATAATAAAATAAAAATGAATGTATAGTTATGGGTGATTTTAGGTGCTGAACCTCATGTGACTATGTCTATAGAAGAATATCAAGCATTAATAAAAGCAGCAAAAGCAGGCGGTGCTTTGGTTCCAGCTTCAAGTTCTGATCCTTGCTCTACCCATTCCGTTTCTAATTCTCTAGTAGATGTCAAGCGAAACATTTATTCTCCACCTGATCAAGAAGTCATGTTAAACGTCGGTAATACTCATGGTATTATACGACCTTCACTAATTCAATGTGCATGTTAGTTTTTCATTATTTAGTGGTTCAGAAATTACTTCAGAGTAACTCTGAAGTAATTTTGTCCTCATTAACATGTAATTTTAATCAGAGATATCTCCTTATTCGACGAGATTCTTTTGTACACATGGCACTGCTTCGAACTGTTTTCTCATTTATACGAGAAAAATTTCTTGATTTTAGCTGTGACGGATTACACGGAACTAAGTGTTGCAGCATCGAATTTGCCACGTACAGCATATAAACTTACATCAGATATGGAAAAAAAAGTGAAATACATTCACGCTACAATTCATGATGAGTTGAATACAAACTCGCCTAAATTATGCAGTGATCGGGAAGTTTTAAAGGTATCCATCGTTTTTGCCAAGATTTTTCAATGCAGTATCTTTATCATTTCTTGTAAAGAAACATTTTGATCTGTTGCATCGAATGCCCAAAATTAAGCACTAAGTTTTGTGAAAGCTTCGAGAAGTGTTTTTAACTGTATTTTTGCTCAGAATTTTGCTATGACTTTCTGAAATATAGCTTTAAAAGCTCTGTTTTAAATCCTTTATCGATTTTGAAAAAATTTAAATCTACTCTTTTATTCCATCTACTACTTTATCTGTATCAAATAATAGTCTGCTAACTTTTCAGCAAGTAATTTATCGTGAAGGTGACTCTCATCATAATTATCAGCTTAATTCGGCAGAACTACGTGCACTTGATATTGTTGGTTTTAATTCAGAATCTTTGTGTTTTAATGTTTATGCTATTTTTTTTCGGGAAAAAGCCAGAAAAGTTAGTGTCTGTGATTAATTCCAGGTTCGCGATGCATTTGCCTGTATGAACGAGCCAATCGAAGATCCTCGAAAGGCAGCGTGTTTGAAGAAAGCTACTCATGATCCAACAGATATTCTTAACATCATGGATATTACAATGCGAAGATTAGTGAAAATGGCGAAAAAATTGCCAGCATTCAATGATTTATCACAAGATGGAAAGTTTGCTCTTTTAAAAGGTTCTTATCGATTTCTTGTGTTTTGAGTTTAAAATCCGATGTGTTTTTATTATTAGAAACTCTTTTTATTGTATTTAAATGATTTCATTAAAAAGTCAACTAGAGAAGATTTCAAAAAAGAAATTACCTATGAATCCAAGTTTCTATGATCAGAATGTTTTCATAAACACTGCTGTGTAAGGGATCAGAATGAAGACACTAAAGAAGATTCAGATATGTTGTCTTAATTTGTAACATGAGCAACACTCCGTGATTAACAGTGAAAACACGTGAAGTATTAAAATCTATTAATATTTTTATAAATTGTGCCTAGGCGGTATGGTGGAAATGTTAACGATGCGTGGTGTGACTCGTTTTGACATGGATCAAAAGTGCTGGCGCACACCAGTGGTTTCTGAAGATCATAAAATATCATTAGGGATGTTTGATCAGTTAAAAGATGGACTTCGTGATCGTCAAAAAGATGGTTTTCTCAAGTTTGTTTTAATCAACTTCGAAGCTGGCATATAACTGATTATTTCGAAAAACTTGTTTATTTCAATCAACAGTTCAGATTCTGTCAGTCGCTTCATCCGGATATTAGGAATAACGAGCTTGCTATTGACTTGATTGTTCTGATTGTGTTATTTGATTCGAGTCGTGATGCTCTTTTGGATCCAACTGATCGAATTACTGTTGCTCGCCATTGTCAAGAATATCAAACTCTCTTACATCGGTATCACTAATCGTATATTTGTTTTTTTTTCCACACAGCTTAGATTTTCTTATCTTCATAAAAATCGGACCATAATGATTAATTATATATTTTTTTAAATTAATAGTATTTAAGTGTAGACTATTTTGTGTACGTCTTCTTAATTCATTTTCGTAATGACTGAGAAGATTCATATGAGTGTTAGAAAAGCAATTTCTAGAAAAAGCATTCATTTCGCTTTCTTGGTAGGAAGGATATACTTCTTAATATTTGTATCATTTAGGCAGGTAAAGGAGCGAGTTGTCTTTCATATTATCTGAAATGTTTAGCAAATAAGCATCAAAAGTTGAAAAATAATAATTGTTGTTTTAGAATGTACTAGAAAAAATTAAGCTTTTTTTAATTGAAATTAGCGGTATTCTAAATTTATTCATTCTGTGTGGTTCTTTTGCAAACAGTATTTGCCAGTTGTTTGTCTATATTCACTTTTTGCTGAACCACTTATTTTGTACTGCATGTTTGCTTTCGGCCCTTAAATATCTTGCTTTTTGCCTAATTGAGTCAAGAGTAAATTGCAGATTAGACAAAAATTTATTCTTTCATCGTACTTTTCGAATGTTTTGAAAAAATGAAAGGTTGAAGAGTTAGAGTTATTAAAGACTCAAGTATATTGTAAAGCTCAAATACATTTAATTTGATTTTTTACTTTAGCTTTTAGTAATTTTTTTCTTAATGTAGGTTTTTTAGCTATATGGAATCAATGTATGGTCGTGAGGCACGGTCGCGCTATGAACATCTCTCTGAATCAATAAGAATCTTGAGAATTGTCAGTCAAAACGCCGTGACGTTATTTTTGGGATGTGTTGATCCCAACCAGTCTGAAGCACTTCCTAAGGAATTCTTCAAAACTGCATAGAAGAAATAATAGCAAGATTTTAAATGGGTCAACTTTAAATACCTCACTACAGTCCAAGGTTTTTTTTAAAAATTGATTGTATGTTATTCTGTTACAGTACTTGGCACTCATATTAGTTGTGTAGCTTTCTATCTTGAAACATCAGCAACAATGAAGTTCGATCAAACTATTTTTCTTTGAATATTAAGATTTTAGCTGAATTTTGTTTCATTTAGACAAAGATCAATAGTGTATGCTAATTGTGATCTCTTTTTTGGTCTGAAATGCATGGATTCGCAGTAAAAACATGAAAATGAATATCGCGTTGCATATTGATCTGTAGAAGTTTTTGTTTCAACTTTTAGCTTTCAGTCAATTCCACATAGATCTACATTTGTCTGAGCAATGAAGTAAATTGGAAATGCTGAGATTGTAAATGAAAAATGCTTAGTGCACAAATGTGATATGTATTTTGTCTTTGTTTTCATTCTCTCTCTCCTCTCCAATACTATCCTCACTGAAAGTATTATGCGACTGAATTTATTCCCGAGAAGTAATACCATGTATGATAATTAATGCTCTCAAATAATGTACTCAAGTTGGTATCGATCATGCTAATACTCACGTTGCACATTGATATTCATGTATAATATTTGAGTAAGAGTGTGATGTTTGTGTGTCAGCACTATTAATTAACACGATATTATTATTGCCACTTTGTTATTTAATAATTAGTATTATTGTGTTGTTACGTTGTATATGTTGCGTTTAATTATTCAAAAAAGATTGGTAATGGTCCGTTGAAGGGTGTTATCAGTTTAAGATTTTGGGTGTTTTTTCTTTTCTGTTGCAGACATTTATTTATGTTGGATTTTCTTGTGCACATTATTAATTGTATTTCTGTTCCCGTCTCCTTTATGAGAATGTTTTATTTGATACTGTAAGAGCAGATTGCAGGGAACAAGAAGGGGTTGATTGTTGATTAGATTAATTCATCACGTTATTACACTTTACTGGTAATGCTTTCGATTTCCGGTAAGTTTTATCTTCGTGTTCAAGTCAGTTCTCCTTGTCCTGACCGGTAACCTTTAAATTGTTTGAAATGCATTTTTTACTTAGCTTTTGGACTGGTTGCGAAGTATATATGCGTCGTAGCGATCATTCTTTTTTTGTCTGAAATGCGTTGTTTAGACGTGAGACGTGAGCGATGCTTTCATCTGCCATTTTCGTTTTCTTGTTTCGAAAGATGAGTTAGTATTGTTTTTGACTAGTAATAGTACTTGTTGTGTCTTTGCTGGTATCGAACAAATTTGAATTGATCAAAAAAATGAAATGATCAGTTGAATTTCATTCAGTTGAAAGAACCTGAAATGATTGTTTTATTGTAAAGTTATTTACTCGTAAAGAAGAATGAGAATAATATGCTTGTGATGGAGTGAGTGAGTAGTGCAGGTGAATTTGTGCTATTCTTTGATAACTAGCAAATGTAAGGAATTCTGTAGACTGATTCATGGCAGTAGATCAACTAGTAAATGTCAAGTATTCTCAGTTAGTTTCCCTTAGTAGTTTTATTGTTGATGTCTGTGTATTCCTCCTGTCTCAATATTCTATCTTCTTTGATGTATCGAAAAGTGATTTTGTAATGCTACCTCCGTATCATTTTGTGTTATTTTTTCCTCTGGCTTTCCACACAACTAAGGTATTTTTGATTATTTATCATTGATTTATATTCGTCATAGAGCGCGGGTGATTAGACTTATCATTTCGTGTCCTTGTCATCATTACTGATAATGCAATGAATGGTAATTATGCATTCACTTGAACTTAGATAATTAGTTAAATAAAAATTTGACCTTTAAATTAAGGGTGATGCCAGTCTTGTTAATTTTGCGGGTGTTTGTTGGTTCAAGTTTTTTAAGTAGTGTTATCGAGTTAGCAACAGGGTCAACTCCACCTCACCTGTAAACCTCTTCATCTTAGGTGAAGTTGAGTGTTCCTTCCTTATATTTGGTTACTAGTTGACTTCATCTGTTCTCCATGCTTCTTGTATTCTGCTAAACTTTGTCTAGAAAACTACCAAACAAACCTTTGTTATTTCTCCTAAGGGATTATTATTTGAAGTGCAAGAGGAATAGCGGCTTAGATCAAATACTTCTTTTTCTTGTTTTGATTACTTTCCGGTGTGCTTCTTGCGTTTTGGAAGTCTGTTTTCTAGGATTCATGTTATTAGTTAAGTAAAAGGATAAGTCGTTACTTACTGGTCATTAACTGCTTGCAAGTACTGAACTATGTTCAGGACATTCTCCTCATACACTGGTATCTTTTTATAAATTTTTTCTAGGTTGAATATTATTATGATTATCTGGTTTTGATATTGTGGTGCTTCTAGGTGTCTGATTTACAATGTAACATCCATCCATATAACAACAGCTCTTATTTTCTTCTCTCTTTAAATGCGTGTGTACATTTTTGTCTTGCTTATTGTTAACGGTAAAAATTAAACACATTAATAAGCGATGTGTTCATACATTATTTCATATATGTAACCACTTTTATCTTTCATGTTAGCAGTTCATTGATCTGTCATCGTATGAATAATAATTTGCGAACTTTGAATATTAGTATGTAATTTTTATGATCTCATTGTCGGGTTTACAAAGTATAAATTCGCAGGCTAACTAATGTTTGCTTCATTGTTGTTCGTTCTGCGTGAACAAACCCGGAATAAAGGTCATGTAACTGTTGTTGGTTAGACACTGTATTGGGTATGGAGAAGTAAATTCAATACACTGCTCAATAATGGGTTTAAAATAGTTATGCGTATAACTGTTATCAGTAATATTCATGTATAACGTGGTTATTAACAAAAAACGGCTAGAAAGAAGTTTGCTAGGTTGCAATATGCTCGTAGACAAGTGAATAAGGTTGCATTAACTGGGAAAGTAATTAAACATGAACATGAGGTTAGACAGTTTTCTGTTGCAGTTGAAACATTCTGTCACAACTAGCTAACTGTTAGTGCGAGTAATCCGAGCTCGATTTGCAAACAGTGTGGGAAGGGTCTATATGGAATTGAGCCATTTTTTTGAAATTAATTGAGTAGTAATAATCTAGTCATCAACTTTTTCGTCAAACTACAGATGAGAGTTTTTTTGGTAGCATTTCATTACACTCAGTTTCGTACTAGCAATATTTGCACTGTTGTTGACAATTTTTGTAGTTTTTTGTAAAAATACCACTAGTGGTTGTTAACCTCTGCAGCAATTAATAAACTGTCACGGAGAATTCAATTAACGAGTTATAATTATTAGGAAACATTTTCACATGAAATTATACTACAAAAACTGTATCTGGCAAAAATGATCACAGTGCTCGATATTTTTATGTTCATGTACTTACTAATAATCTACAAAGAGATGGAGATCACACAGTAAGTAATGTACTGAATTTACGTAAAAATTCTTATTAATCAGTATACATGAGATGTTCAAAACAGTTTGATTGTCAAACAAACGAATTTTTTCGATAAGAAAGTGATTTTTTTTAACGAAAAAATCATTGTTTACCATGTGAAAAGTGAATGAATGATTGTTGTATATACTTTCACTTGCAATGTGAATGCTAAGTATGGTATGCTTTTTGCATGAGAGTAATTACTTGCTTGATTCCAGAGTTTATTACGTAGATAGCTGATAATGTTGGCATTACAGTTATGAAGAAGTTAAGTGTTCACAGTATAGCATCATTTATACACTTTAATTATGCAAAGCAGCTACAAAATTTATACAGAATTATATTTTTGGATTCTTGTTAATTTTAATGAGTAAAATCTTTGTAGTAAGCTCAAAATTAAAGCCTTAGAAATAAATCTATTATAAAAATTCAAGAAATATGTAAGTAAACTTTTAATTTTTCACGGTACAAAATGTAATTTCACAATTTTATTAGTAATCATGAATTGATGTGTGAATAGGAATCTTAATCTTGCGTTATTATGTATTCTGATAATTTGTTCATATTTTTCTTCTAAAATTATGAATTATAGATTGAATATCTTTTATTTTTCGAATTCACTTTTACAGAAAGGCATTTTACGAGTAACTTTTTTATCTTATTTTTGATAACATAAGATTGATCAATCAATATTATATGATTCATTATAGATTTCTAGCCAAGAATTTGCATACAATTTGATTATTAAAGAAACTTTCTATTTTATATCTATATAATGATTATCTGTGATTAATAATGCATAAGTATCACTACGCTAAGTGTATATTCATTATTCATTCAATCCCTGGAACAAATTACTGCTCAGTCAATATGGTATATTTTTGCATACCAAAGCTTTCTTGTTCTTTCGATCTATCAAATACAAAGTTAATTTGCTTAAAATGGTATAAATATTTTTTAATTGCATTCATTATACATTAATTTGCAAAATTGGGTAATGTTCAGACATAAAATAATTCGTTATTTTGTATTGTTGAAAAGCTTTGTCGAAACTGACATCTGTTGCTAAGTGAAAAGAAAATTGCTGAGATTACTTACAGTTTACTTGCAATTACATGTAGTTGTTAAATCGTTTTCAACGCTAGAATTTTTCACGGAAAGATTAATGAAATTTGTTATTTGTTGCAGAATAAATCAATAACAGAATCAAGAATTTTTGGTAAATTTTATTGCTGTAAATGATTAGAGCATGGAAGATATACCGAAGAATGCAGTGCATCCAATTGCTTCATCTGAACTCAAATCTACAGAAAATAATGAACACAAGATAAATTGCACAGTTACCGAAAATCACAACAAAACTGTCCGTGAGGTAGCAGCTATCAGCAAACTATTTATCCACACTTAATACATTTTACACATTCTACTGATCATTAATTGATTTCAGATCATTCAGAGCATTTGATTACAATTGATTTCAGATCATGCTAAGTGCTGTGATCATGATTGCAGTAGCATTTTTTTGGGCAATGAGTACACAACTTACAAAGACAATTCTTTTGCTGAATCCGAAATACTTTTATGCTCCATATTTTATGGTTTGGTTTATGACAAACTTTATGATAGCTTCTTATCCTTGTTATCTATCATTGGCATTACTTTTTGGTAATTCATCGTTGGTTACAATCCACAAGTATGCTATTTTTTTGCTAATTTTTTGTAAATTTACTTGTCCCAAATAGTAAAAGTAAACATAGTAAGCAATGATTTTATATGCATACTAATGTAAATCTCTAAAAACATTTGTTAAATATTTACAGAGAAGCTTTGATTGTATATGGTCAAAATGTTAACAAAATATGGTCATATTTTTTGTTAACAATATTGTTTCTATTTTTTTGGATGCTAGCAAATTATGCATATTCTCAATCGCTAGGTCATATATCAGCTAGCGCATCTTCTTCTATTATGAGCTGTAATACAGCTATGATAACTGTATTAGCTTGGATTATTTTGCGTGATCGCTTCATTTCCTTTAAAGTATGCGTATTTTTAAATGAATATTTATTTAATAGGCAGAAAATATGTCTACAAAATTTATATTTTTATGAATTAATAGAAACTTGCAATCAGTTTTAATAATATGAAAAATATCAAAAAATTAGACTTACTGATTATTCAGACATTGAACAAATTGACTGACGTACATCTAATCATTAATTAGTGACTAATTAATCAAATTACTAGAAATAAAAATCATATTTAAATCAATGCAATATTGAGTGGTAAAATGTGCTTGATTTTGATTACTACGCGATTTCTGTTTTGTATTCACATATTTTATAAACTTCAATAGTAAAAAGATGTGAGTGATTAATGAGATATCATATCATTTACTTCAAAAAAAAGATAATGATCACACAATATTATTAGATAATCCCTTTGCTAATTAATAAATATTATTAGACATAATTACTAATTAATAAGTATTATTAGCCTGTCGAACTTTTGAGCAGGTAATTAATTCAGTTTTTAAAGTCAAAATATGGCCGACATTATATAATGTATTGTTCACGGAGGTATAATTTCAGCTTATCTCAGTGGGAGCAGCGATTGCTGGCGTTGTTATAATTTCTGTGGATAAAGAATTTGCAGGGGATTCTTTTGGAGTATTTTTATCAATACTTTCAGCTTTTTCAGCTGCCTTTTACAAAGTTTCTTCTTGGTTTGAATCATATCTTAATATATCTCACTTAACTTTTATCAAATTATTATGCTAAATTTAGTGATCTTAATTTATTATTTAATTTTACATTTATTCAAAAATAATTAGCTGAATTAGTGCTTATTCTTTTTATTAAGTTAGACTTTCAGATAATTAAACATGTCAGAGGTTAATTTCTCGCTGTCTTCTTATTTATTATTGAAACAAACAAAATAGAAGATTTAAATTATGATAGACGTAGAGAAGTATTAATAGTGACAGTATTCGTATTAAACGAGACTTTAGAACTGATTACTTCAATGTAGCCAAAAACAATAATACTGTAAATGATCAAATCTTAAGATCAATCTTTGACTTTGGAAATTGGACGCAACTAAGGGCATTTTTGTGAAGGAAACTTGTAGAAAAGTACGATTTCTAAGAATTATACTTTTGAAAATATTATGAGTTAATCAATAATACGCATGAATTATTGACTAAACTTGAAGAAAAAAAAAACAGAAAATATAATGATTTTAAAAGATTCAGATTTGCTGTGCAATAATAAATAAAACTTCCAAGATTTTTCACCAAGATTTCCCAATATCTGCAGGTTCTTTTCAAGAAGTTTCACGGAAACGCCAGTATTGGACAAGTCTCATTATTCCTTACTGGTTTAGGCCTTCTTAATTTTTTCTTCAATTCTATTCCTGCATTACTGTTACTTTTAATGAAGGCTGAGATTTTTACTTGGTCAGCAGTGCCATGGATTCCACTTTTTGGTGTTGCATTTTTATCTTATTGTAAGTCATGCAACTTTATCAGTGTATTATATTTTCGTATGCAAATTAATGCTAACTTAAAATTTACAATATCTTTTTTTATGTGCATTACAATCATATCTTTATAATTAGTAAGAAATTAGAATTATTATATCTGAATCAAGTATAGTTTTCTTCAGGTGCAATATCTTTAGTTCAAATAAAAATTAACATTTACTTTAGTATTCAATTTCCTCATAAATTTTGGAATAGTGCTGACGCATCCACTAATTATATCTATTGGCATGTTGCTTGGTATTCCAATTAGTGCTGGTAATTATTACATGCAAATTATAGCAGGAACAGAGTCCGCCACAACAAAGCTACGATATGAATTGAACTAATTTTATCATTTACTATATTTCAATTTACTACCGTAACCTACACAGCAATAGAATTTACTTTGTTATTCTAAAATAAATTTTAAAGAATTAATATGAACAAATAAACTAAGAGATAGAATAGGCTAACTTCTTTACATAATTTCAGTCTAGTCTAGCAACATTGCGAGACTGAAGCAAAGTTTAGAAGTTCATTAGACTACTTACTTACTTACTTTACATGTTCTTATTGTATTTTTTCAAATATGATGCTAATTTGTTTCAGCTTTTGACATCCTTATCCGTCATATGAAGGTTACACCCAACTTTATTCTCGGTGTTCTTCTCATATTGATTTCATGCGCAACCGTTAAACTGCCAGATCGAAAAATAACGAATAACTACCAGAATTGATAATACGATTATGACAATTATTCTCCATTACGCGCAATTACTTCATCGCACCGTGTTCCAAATTCAATTTCTTCAAACAAAATATACCTTAAATCTGATTATGTCCATTCCCCTAGCAAATAACTATACATACCCAACTGCTCCCTTTGTTTGCTTCAAGTAAGGCAAGATAGCCTATTACAGAAATAATAAAATTAGAGAACGTTTTAACTGCTTGAATCCATCGTAAGTTCAGTTTTAGTACGCGATATAATTTTGAATGATAAACCACTACGATTTTGTGCAGACGCTATCGAGAACACGCGTAACTTGAGATTTACTTGAAATTAATTACAGAACTATTTTCACCGATTGCATAAATCTGCTGTTTATATACCAAATAAATGCACAGTACTCGCACTAGAAATACAACATAACTATACAACGACCAATAATTGTTTGATATTTCAAACTGAAAGTAAATCATACTGCTTTCTGAGCTGGATCTACCTAAATATTTATAAAAATAGGAATATTTCTTCAGCTAAAATTTAAAATAGAAAATATTTCTATCATAAATTTCAGCCAAATCAAATACTGCTAACTCAAGTCGAGAAAGAACAAATTATATCTCTTACGAAAAAAGTTATGTCTCTCATACATCTTAAGAAAAAAGTTAAAAAAGATTTTTTGTTACTGGAAACAAGAGAAATTAATTTCATGACTGAATGATACCAAGAAAACAGTTTTAAAAGGATAGTATACGTAAATTAGTGAAGGAAATTACATTAACTTGAACATGAGACATTACGAGAGTTTAAAATACAGCTGCATGAAATAATAAAACATATGAAATGTGAAAAACTCACGATTGCAAAAGACCATTCTATCTCATAGCTAGTCAGTTAAATTCCTTACAAACTTCTTTGGCTGTAATTAATACTTCAGTAATTTAAAGAGAGACCATTTCTGGTTCGCTATGCTGGTGGAAAACACACAATATCATCTAAAGCAGACATATTCGTCTTTTTATTTACTTTTTTAATAGAAACATTTTCCACTGCATTTTTATGAAACTGATTTGAACCATTTCTGACTATTAGATTTTGAGAAACTGGAGGAGATGGTAAAGTTATTTCATTCAATGAAGGCTTAAGCACCAATGAATCCAGAGGGTTCTTCTGTTTTATTTCAAATGAGTCTGGCCAAGAAGAGTCCGTTTCATTGACAATGTTTTTGTAAGCGACCTAAAACCACCGAAACTTGTTTCAATAAGGAAAACTAAAGGAGATGTGAGAAGCGATTCTAGGAAACTAATCCTTTTATGAATACACTTCACTATGAAAAAAACTTTTGAGAAACATAAGTAAACCTTTGCTGAAAAAGAAGCTGGGAAAAATTCGGAAAGATCTACAGAATTAAGAGCAGCGGAAACAGATGTCGTCGGAACCAATAAACTGTTTTCAATTCTTCCAAAAGCAGAGTCAGTCGGTGTAATAATATTCGAATCTAATGTATGGCTAATTTGTGTATTTCCGCTAACATTGATTGGTTGCAAAATATTTGGCTGTCTGCGCAAACGTAAATCTTGTTCTTTTTCAGCCGCTAATCGCTTTTTGTCAGCAAGACTTAGAAGACCCTAAAGTAGTATACGATAGTGAAATTAACATGAGAAATGCAAAAAGCACCAAAACTTGAGAAAAAGAAATCACAGCTAATCATTATTATAGCTAATTCATCATTGTCAACCAAATGATCATTTTGAAATCATATGGAAAGTTTGAATATTTCCCGAAACATAAACAATACAACTCTTTTTCCACACCATAATTTCCTGAAAATAAAATATGGTTTGATATGAGAGCAAATGCACATACATTTTTCGTATTAGTTTCTGATTTTTCTTTTTTTGCTGCATTTTCGACGGCCAACTCTGAGAGACAGCTTGGTAATGAATTCTACAACATGCTAGCTATAAAAATGTTTGGTATCATCGAATTATTTCTAATTTGTAAACATATGGAAGACATCTTTCCCTACAGTCAGTAGTAGTTAAGAGGATATAATGACCGTATTAAGAGTGGCTGTTGGATTAATTACGCCAGCAAAATCAACAATGCTTCGTTGTTCCACCTGACTAGCACTTAATTGTTGTAATCGTTGTCGTTGTTCTTTTTCAATCTGTAACACAACATTTTCAAGAATTTGGCTTTTTACTACTTGTTTTGTTATTCAAAAATTGAAGTAATACATGCTAGAAACTGCATGTAATGATAACCTTATCCATAATACGGTGCGTTAATGCGACATATTGTTCAAATTGAGAAATACTTAATGTATTCTCCATTGAGGAAGATATCAAAAATGGCAAAATACTTCTAGCGCATTGATCACGAGTTAAACCGAAACGAATATCTTCAAACACTAATTTGTAGACACCTGAGAATAAGCAGCACAAATAAGTATCAAAATCACAGGAAAATTTAACACATCCTTTACTCTAAATGAGGTAATACTTACCCTAGACACCAATAATTTAAGAATATATATCTTTTACTATTTTTTGGAAAATAAAGTACATTTTGAAACAACTTGTTGTAAGCTGTTTTGTTCCATAACAAACAACAAAGTCGGTAGAAATGAAAATATACCTAACATTGCCATCAGAATTGCTGGTTCTCGACTATTAACTTTGGGAAGTGCTGGAATAATTTGTTCTGTTACCATCCACGACTCCAAATGAGGTAATATCTTCCCTATACATATTAAAGCTTGAACCCGAATCTAAAGATATGAAACTTGGTGCTCATCACATTTTAGCTAATTGATAAAAAAATATTTTGTCTAAAACTTTAAAAAACTTTAAAATTCGAAATCTAACAATCAACATCTCTTTCCCTCCAACGATCAGTTTGAGCAATTTCGGCACTACTTCTGTTTTCATAGTCTGTCTTTCGATCATGGTAACAACTTTGGGGATGACTGAAAGACACAATTCCTGAAAGTTTTTTTTGCTGCAATAAGGGCTGCTGCTCGCTAAATTTTCTAGAATTTGCTCGTATGTAACAACGAAATGGCACAACAGAAGCACCTGAATTTTTATTGTATCGCTGGATAAAGAGTTGCAAATTAAAGGTAAAAGATATCTGCGAGCATCTTCTTCATCTGTTTTTTGCAATAGCAAGTCCATATTTTGCAAAAGCAACAGTAATATCTGTAATTAATAAAAGTACATTGTATCAAGCCAAAGTAGAATAATAATCATAGACTGCTCTGCAAATCTCGTAGTATAAAACTTATCGACCTACTTGATATGGGCGCTCCATTCCAAATATGGGAATAAGTTGAGGTAAAACAGCTGTACCAAACTCATCTTTACTAACAACATCAGCAATATGAAACACACTTGGAAGAATGAATGGCACTAATTCTGCAGCGACAAATTCTGCGCACAAGTGCGGGAGTACTTTTAGTATAAGTGGTCGCTAAAACTTCATACTTTTGCAGTACAGTAAGAAAATTATAAGTTTAAGAGACGGATGAATTTACTAAACAAGAAAGATTTACTAGGAATATATTCACATACATATACAAAAAATACACAATACTTTTGGAAATTTCGCCAGAAGTTGTGGCAATTGTTTGAAAAAGCTCATTTTTTGAGTGCTATCCATTTGACATAACAAATCCATGCTAGTTAAAGTCCGAATCAGAGGTTCATCAAAGTATACAATCTGAAGAATGAGACTAAACTTTGACAAAATAATCCTGAAACAGGAGCCTTGTAACAGAATTTTGGAAAAAGCCTAGTGAACCCTAGCCAGCCACAACAAAGCCTTTTTTTCATTATTATGAAAAATCGGTAGAGCAGTGGAATTTGTAATGAAAATAAAAATCTAAATATAGAAAGACAGATGAATAAAACCTTAGAAAATTGAGTAGCATCTGGTCGAAGTTCAGGTGTTAAATTCAAACACATTTTCAAATCATCACGGAGTTCAGCAGGAACATTATCAAAAACTGATGCAGATAATGCGTTCATCTGAAAATTAGAACTTGACAAAGACCACAAAAAGATAATAATTTGTAAACATAAGGTAGCTTTTTTAGTAACCTTGTTGACGTTTTTACGAAAATTATCCAACGAATTTTTATGGTCAAATGGCTGTTTCCCTTTATTGAAGACTGTTAATGTCATAACTCCCAAAGAAAAAATATCAGCATATGGATCACAACGACCACCCACAACATACTCTGGAGCCAAATAATCTAACAACGGCTGAACAACTGACATCTCACGCTGATTCCACTCAATCATTTCATAAGTGGCCTATAAAATGATCTTTATGAGTAAATTGAAAGTGTTTGCTTCATTGTGCCACGAGCAAATAATTTTAGGACTTTTACAACTGATGGAAAATAATCGCACCTGATTATTGGTACTTTGCGTACCTTGAGCAGCAAAATCGAAACCCGCTAATTTCCATTCGCCTTTATCATTAATTATTATACTTTCTGGAGATATATTCCGATGCATCATCCGCGCATCAATGTGCAAAAACGACAATGCCTCCGCAATCTGTAAGAATAAGCAAACTGCTAAAATCAAGCGAGAAATGAAATAACTCCAGAAATCAGAAATTTAAGGGTAATCACTTACCCGAAAAAACCCATAGCGAACTTCAATATCTAAAAGCTCAAAATTAATCAAAGAAATCGGGTGTGAAGCTATGTTATCCAAACGTCCAAGAGCATTAGCCAAAGATGCAAAAACAGGTTCTGTACAGAAAGCAAACGAATCCCTGAAGACACAGATTTTGATAACTTTCGTATCCTGAAGACACAGATGTTGATACAAATGATCTAAATAACATGAAAGTAGCAATCGCGAAAAGCAAAAACTTATGTTTGGTTGCGATTTCCACAATTACTGTTAAATAAATTTATGTTTAAATGCAATTTTATGAAAGGCTTTCATCTCTTCATAGCATATGACCTAGATTCTTCGAGTGGATGTTCGATAACAAGAATACATGGATGTCTTAAACGAGTGAGCTGTGATACTCCTCTCTTCAAGATTTCCGCGAACAGTTCTCTTTCATATTTCGGCCATTTCTCCAAATTTCGCTTCTCAAATAACCATACTGACACAGGCTGCAATTTATATTTAATTTTAATTTTTTAATAGTTAAAATCTACTGCAGCATTTCAAAAAAATGATATAGCAGCCAAGAGAATTAGTTATCACAAAAAATAGGCATGGAAATAGCACAAAGAGATAAAAGTTGTCTATGAAATTTATAATGATACAACAGAGTACTTCAAAAAATCTGCACTTTGCTCAAGATTAGAACCTTCTTAGTTGAACGTTTTTGAGCCGCGTAAATTTTCCAGCTAAGAGCTGGACCCGCACTTGCGACCTGCGACAATACTTCGTAATCTCGAGCTACCGGATTTCCAGGTAAAGCACTGCTTACCTGTGCAGCTACAGCAGTTACTGTAGAACGTATTCGATTCAAATAATAATCAACATTTATTGCCATTTTTTCTCAACCTTCTGAAAAAATGTAATACTCGATTTTTTCAAATCGAATCAACTTTTGAAAAAATCTTTCACTTTAAACTGTATTAGTGAATTCTAACCAACATGATGCTAACTGATAACTTTACAATCTCGAGTACTGATTACTTTACAATCTTTACAATATGATAACTTTACAATCTCGAGATTATATTCTTAGACAACTTAGTTAATGCATGTTTACTTCAAATTAAGCTTAGAATGCCCCAAACCACTCGACGGTCGACATGCAGGGATTTCTTGCGACCACAGCTTAATATATTAACTGAAACCAATTTCTTATACGGATGAAAATAAGATCTCACCACAACTTCATATAAATCAACAAATAGTAATTTCTTCGCTTCTAACAATACATATCATACTTTATGCGTAATTTACAGTGTTCAGTATCCAAAGTTTTTAGTAACGGTATTATAATTTTCTTAATAATGTACTTTGGTACCAGCTTTTTGCAACCTTATTTTACCCTTTGTCAAAAATAGTATTAATTTTTTGCATCTAATTGTATGCAAATATTAGATAAGCTATAAAAGCTCAATCCCACTTGAGTTTGCAGTAATTTTCGTCAGTTTCAGTAAGTCACCAGCCAAAGTGAGCAGTTTTAATGAGCGAACAACTAAAACTGAAGGTCGGTTGTTTTTTGCAGCATCTAACTGAATGATACTACAATCTATTGGTTAATAAAGAACACAATTTCATTTTCGACACTTGTTAGCAATCACGTTAAAGCAGAGACCTAATTCAAATTTGTAAGACGTAGCTTACTTTATGTGTGGACATAAACTTTAAACAAATTCAACCTAACGTCTATGTGTCAAAACTTGACGTCACTTCATGAAAGCGTGACTCTAACTGCAGTACGTATTACAATATTATCCAAGGCATTCGGTTTGAATGTTATTTTTGTATTCAAGACCATTGAGAAGCAAATAATTGCATAATGAATGCCATAGTAGTGCAGCACTTTGATGCTGGTTTACAAAAACAGAGGGAATTACTTGGTTAGTGACGTTTACTTGGTGTCTAGTAGACGCGTGGATTTGTGGAGTACTTTGGGATCATTACACTTAGTTATCAGTCATTTTAAACTTGAAAAGTTTTAAACTATGAACGAACTGTCTATTTTCAAATATCTTCTATTTTAGTAACGATTACTGGATTTTGTAAAATGGCTGATGATGGGAACCTTGCTTCCGAATTCAGAACCGTCACTGGTAAGTTACTTTAATTCTCTCGTAATTTTTATTATCTTAGAACGTACGTCATCATGTAATATGGTCGGGAAAGCTAGCGCAAATTGAGTGAGCAAGTTGAGAAAATAAAACATTACTAAGTTTTAGGAGCTTTTTAGAGATGCGAGAGTTTTACGAAACAATTTAATCATGATGTGATCGGAGGAACGAAATCCTTATGTACCTTTTCTATATCTTGAAACATTCTCCAAATATCAGGGACACAGGAGAAGTAAATAATGAATCAGTTTTCAGTCTCTGATCTGCAGGAAAAGAGTTAAAATTTATTTCAGGATGCACAAGTGCTGCAGAGGCATCCCATTACTTAGAAATGTGTAATGGTAATTTGGAGCTAGCTATCAATTTGTATTTCCAACAGCTACAACCATCTTCATCACATTCGAGAAATGGTAGCAATTCTCCAGATATCGGTCAAATTAGCGATAATGCGCAACAGGGTAGTTCTATGGTTACACGTCGTAAAGTGCGTGAAGCTTCTGGTTCTCGAGCTAAACAGCTACATAATAAAATGTATTTTACTGACAGATTATGTTTCGCTTAATGCACATCTAAAAATTTTGTGCTTGTATTGTAAAATGCTATGCCTTTGATATGTATATTCATAGTTTTTACAGTTCAGTCAGTTTCAAACGAATGAAATTGACAACAGTATTTTCAGATCAGTCGCCGGTCACAGTGATGTACGTGAACCTATAGCACCCGTACGTGGACCTATTATTGAACAAACATTTACACAACAGTATGGTTAGTTTCATTTTCAGCCTTTATTTAGTTTTGAGCTACTTTATAATTAACTCTTGACTATGGATAAAATCTTTTCAATATAAATTGATACATTTTAGGTCGACAAAATAGACCCCATGTTATATCGGTATTTGATTCAACTCGAGATTTTCGTGCAGAAGCAGGTTTTTTTAAAGCTTTATTCTTACATAAAAATTTATGAAACAAATTTCTTTCAAGAAATTTCTTAAATATCAACAACAGTATGCGAATACCTTTATATTAAGTTCAAGTGTTTGAAATAATTTTAGAAGAGCGATTACTGTTGTTGCAAAATGGGCAAAATTTATCTGACTCAGTAGTAGCCAAGCGTCTGACATTGCAGAATCTTTTTCGCCCTCCTTTTGATATTATGTGCACGGCAAATTGGAATGATGTTAGTGGCTAACTCTTTTTCTTATTATTAAATTGAAATTTATCATACGATTTCGAATCAGCTATTAGTCGACTTTTCTTCATAAATAAGACAACTGCATTTACTTATTCGTTAGAGCTATCCGTAGATTAAAATATAAGTTAACAGCTGAAATGTATGACGTTCATATATAATGCAGACTGAGTTGTATTTCTTTAAACGAAACTTCACACCAGAAGTCGCACTTGCTATGGTTTGTAAACTATTCCCTCATTTGTTGAATTATTAAGTAATATAAAATGTTGATTGTTAAATAAAAAACTTTTTTTATATAAATATCATAGGCTCGCGCCGAAGCTCAGCGAAAACAACATTGGTTGCTTGTCAATTTACAAGACGACTTGGAATTTGCTTGCCAAGCGTTGAATCGTGATGTCTGGTCGAACTCATCTGTGAAGGAACTCATTCGTTCAAATTTCGTTTTCTGGCAGGTGGAAACATTTAGAAATTATATCTGTTTCAGATAGTTTTGGTAGGTAATAAGATGATTTGTCTCATTCATTGGACATCCAGAAATATTTTAGTTCCATATTTGGCTAAAAATTATTTAAGGTGAGCAAAGATTCAGCTGATGGCCACAGAGTCAGCAATTACTATCGCATACAAAGTTACCCTGCCATTTTCGTTGTTGATCCACGTACTGGCGAACAGTTGACTACATTTATAGCTAAAGACACAGTGTCTTTCTGCGATCAGGGTGAGTACTGTTTGTTGCGTTAAAAAAATTTCAGCAGCGTTCGGCAAGTAAATTCTAAATCCAATTCTAATTTTTGCTGCAAGTCCGAGCTTGAAAGTTAAAAATGAATGGTTTATCTGTGCGAAATTAATGACGAAACTGTACATATGTCTTTACTTTCAGCAACATCTTTCATAGACAAATGTCCAGATTTCGGATCTCGAGACAGATTGTTAACAGGGGAACCAGCATGTGATACCTCTGAGCAGTCAACATCGCAAAAGGGTTTGGAGCAACACAATAGCAATGTTACTATTGATGTCAGTCTTAATTTTTTTGATACTACTAGCAGTATTGAAAGCATCAGAACACATTGTTATTATATCCTCTTCAAAGTAGATATATTTTTGGTGCAAAAATTAATTGTTTATTCTTAAATTTATTGCTCCTTAGTAGTTTCAGATCTTGTCAGCTGCAGCTCGAAAGCGTGTTAACTGTCGAGGCCAATATGAAATGATGGAGGATTCTTGCAGCGATCCAAAAAAACTTCGAGAAGGTACGTCCTTTTATCAGTTTCAGATTTTTTTTAGTCATTTTCATGACTGCTAAATTTATTAAGAAATTCTAATTTCAGATAATCATGTACTACAGTATGCAAATAATAAATCATGTTTGAGAACACTAATTTATTTTTTGTTGAACAAATTCGACTTTTGAATTTATTACATTAATTTATAGATTTACTCTATATTTCTAGGAATATTATCACTTTTCTATCTTTTTTCTCATATTTGTCATCATTTTTTGATATTTCTGTTCTATCTCCCAAACTCTGGAATATTCATGGGAGCTGAATGGTTTCAGATATTGATGGCATAATGGATATAGGAAGTAAATTGACTACTATCGATCGAGACGAGTGGCTTAAATATCTTGGTCAGGCAGATGGTTTTGGATGCCGAATTTCGTTATCATTACGTTTTCCAGATGGTAGTCGGCAGGTTATTGAAATGGAAGATACAACTACTCTCAAAGTAAATTCTGTGTCGTCTAAATAAGTTAAACGATGATGATGATATACTATTAGTGTGTTCCATATTTGTTTTTGGTGTAGAAAAAAATTTTTTGACCGACGTGCACCTGTCATGATCTAGAACAAAATTTTACAGATAATTATTATTAGCGTCGAATCATCTTTTGAAAGTTTATTTGCAATTTCAAATTGGTAGAGCAAGATATAATTTGATGTGCCACACTTTTAAGATATATTCGTCACTCAATTTTGTTTCCAGGCTGTATTTTTCTTCATTGCTGGCCTTGGATTCTATCCTGCTGATCATCATCTTGTTCTCGATTATCCAAAACGTATGTTTACCGATCAGGATCACTGCCGGACACTCCGTGAACTTGGGTTTAACAAGAGAGAGCTCATTCATGTAGAGAGACAGTAATGATATCATCTTATAAATACCATTACCAAAACCTTCCAGACAATTTTCTTTCGATTGAAGCCAATAAAAGTTAATCACCTAAATTATTCTAATATCTTTTGAAATTTTGTATTCTAAAATGCATCAAGCCTCTCATATCATATTCTGGCAATTTTCAAAATCAATGAATTTCTGGAATTCGGATTGATTTTTATATTTCCTTTGTATCTACTTCTATATTTTTTTGGTTACTAATATCTATGTTGCATCCATGGCAGAATCAAGAATTGATATTTACAATCCGAAAAAAGTGACTATTAGCAATTAAAGTTTGAATCTGTAATTTTTGACTCCCACTTTGTTTTGTATTTCATTCATCCGAATGAAATTTCATTCATGTGTCCAAAACGCGCTTATTTAAAGTGCAATATAATTTGGAGAATATTTCTATCGTTTGCACTTATGGAAGGTCTTTATTATTCCATGGCAGTTTAGTCCTAATTATTCCTTCAGTAGATGAATTTGGCCGTTATCTAAAATTGTTTCAGCGAATGATTTTTATCCAGTAAACATGATTCTTACTTCAGCAAATTTTCTTGAAAGTATGTTTTTATAGTAATGCATACTCAACAAGTGTATTTCATTGGTATATTCCATTCTAGTGGTATGTCGATCCTCTCGTCTGCCAGTTTGCTTAACAGATATTCGTTTATTTTTCATACTTATTCTTTCTATACTTTTGCAATGCTTATAATTTATCAGATATATAAATTTGTTGTTACTTATGCTTGTGGTCAGCAGGTTGTCAATATCTCGGATATATCATACATCACAATCACAACAAAAGTTACGCAACAAATCATTCTTGAGCTAGTTATCCAGTGAAACATCATAATCCGCGTGAAAACGTGAGCAGTGTAATCAAACCGATACGATTTAGCAATAGTCAGGATAATAGGAGGAAATTATGATGTGTATTGACAGCTAAATATGAATATGCAGAGAACAAGTGGAAGGGGCTACCCCTCACATTAATATTAGAGGAATCACTGAGAAAATGTGGTGAACCGGTAATGTACTTCTAACTTGTACCACTGGCCATAACTAAGATGGAGGTGAACTCTGCCTCTTCAATATTTGGTCTTAATTTGGAAATCAGCAGGTATTTAACAAATCAAGTATAATATATTAAAGTAATCGTGAATTGATCCCACAAAAGTTATAAAAATGATAGAAGTAATCCGTGTATAATTTAGTATAAGAAATATTTTACTTACAATAAGAATGGATAATTATTTCGTTTCAGTTAGAATGAAAAGGAGTATAAATTAATTGAGGTGTATTGCATAAATTATTATTGAAAGATTAAATCTCATGAAGTTGCGTTGATGATACTGTATGTTAGCGTGAACGATTCTTTGAGAGCTTTCTCATCCCATAGTAGTCCATTTCTAATCATTGCTACCACTATCTGTAAAATTTAGTAATGGGAGATATATTTAAATATTATATTATCTTTTTTTCTTCATCATAAAAAATATTGCAAACTTTTTCAGATGGATCAATGATTAAGTTTTGCATTCCATGACCTGGGTGATACATGAGATAAGCCTGTAATAGATCTATTGAAAGGTATTTATTTTTGACTAGAATAGACATTTAAATATACGTAAGCATAGAAATACTTTTGAGATTTTGCTATTTTTTTGAGCAATTTAAATTTTGGATTTTTAATATATTTTCACATTAAATGGAGTAATTATAAGCAAATGAGTTGCTTTAGTTTATTTAAAAGTAGGATGAATTTAAAATTTTAAAAAGTAAAACGGAAAGAAAACAAACATTTGCTTTGCTTGGATGAGGTTCGTAGAAGAAACCATAACCACGGTAGCATTTCAAATTTGATACTTTGTCGTGTACAAACTCTACCGGTTTACTTATTCGATTCCAAATTTCTTCACTAATTAATTTTTCCTTTGAAAAAGTTTACATTAATTTTGATTTTAGTATTTTTCTATTTTTTAAATATAAATCATTTCAAATTTGAGTATAATAAACTTTGCAAGGATTAATTATAAATAATAATAATTAGTGCAACTCTTGTAGCAATTTAAACTGCATCAAAATGTTTTGTTTTTGATTATTATTATTATTATTACTGATACAAATTTATGCTTATTAATTATGTCTATGAAGATTTTACTTTCCAAATAGTAGAGACAACGCTTGCAAGACTCCTAGCAGTTCCTATACCAAGTACTCCAACATTTACAACTTCTTGTACTGCTGGATTATTGTAAGGCATTTCTAGCTAAAGTGATATAAATATTAAAACTAGAAAAAACTGACATTGAAATCATAAAATGATATACTTAATCTTTTAAGCATAATCAATATAAGCATGAATTAGTGTAAAAATTATATATACCGATAGAATACTGAGCCAAGCTGGATAAGTTCCTGAATCCAAAATTTCAGAACGAAAACCGTTTCGCAAAAGATCCCATAAAAATGGAAAATATTTAGTACTTGTAAAAAAAGCACGAATGAATTCAAATATCGTTGGTTGGACAATTCGTGCAATCCGATAATGTTCATGTCTAGGCAAATCCAAATAAAAGTCCTGCTCTAAAAATGCATTTCAATGTATTCATTACAAAATAATATTTAATTTTATACTTGTTAAAATTTTGTAATTGATTTTTACTGCTAGCATATTTTATTTATTTGAAAATTTGCCATCACTTAAGTAAAAATTAATAGGTACTATTCAATAATTTTTAATAATATAACAACTTATAATTGATAAAAAGTAATAACAAGCCTTTCATATGAATTTGAATTTCTTGTTGATAGAATTCTGCAATACTACGTTTTAATGGATCAGTTCGTCGAACTAACTGATCTAACAACCATCCGAATGTAATAGCGTGATAACCCACAGCTGATCCTGCAGGCCATTTCGGTTTCGTCTAATATCTCATTGTAAACTTTCCTTTATTTTGTGTTATTACTTTATAGTTTTTTAAAAATTAATTCAAATAAATTATAGATAAATCAATTTTCTATAAATATTACTCAAATTAAAATTAGCTTTGAAATGAATGATATTAAATCAGAAAGAACTGATTCAAAAATAACACAAAGATATACCTTCTCAATTATTTTTGAAATATATTTGTCATCGTGAGCTTGTTCTATAGTTAATTCTTCGTCGAATACAATTAATCCAGCCTAAAATTAGCTATTATTATTAAGTAATTAATTAATATAAAACTAATAAAAACACTTTTTAATGACTTTATAATATTAATCTATCAATCCAATCTCTTTATTAAATATCGTAATGTAAAGAATAAATACCGTAATGTAAAGAAATTTAATGGACAGATAAATAAGCAAATAAGTATACAAATTAGTTAATAAATAATACCTTATGCTCAAGAATCCATTGCACAGTAATATTTTCTTTGTCATGTGCTCCGAACTCTGGCCAGTACTTTACAACCTGAATAAATAATTTTTTTAGTACTACTATTAAAAGTATTCAGTATAACTTATCTTTTACAAAATCCAACCTTATCTTCATATTGCAAATGACCACGAGTGACCAAAATAGCAATTATTAGAGCACCAATAGCTTTAGTAGATGAAAATACGACTGTCATTGTATCCCTGTTCCAAGGTCGAAGTGCAGCTCTGTGCTTTGCTGACCATATATTTATATTCGACTTCATCATCATTATTATTTTTACTATTAATTAAACTTTATCTTTCTGAACATTTTCAAAATTACTTTATTTATAAAAATGTTTACATTATTTTATGCATTTTTTGGTTATTTTTAAGTTAAAATTTTTCTATCTAAATTTGCGAATTGCAAAACGTGCTTTTAAAATCCACTAAAAAAGTAATTTTTTGTCAGTAATAATAGTGTTAGTAGTAATAAAAACAATGATAATAATAATATATTAATAATAATAATAATAATAATAAACAATAATAATAAATTTATCTTTTGAATTTAAAAAACAATAAATAATTATGGTCATAATAGAGTGATTTACTTTTCAGCATATCCACCCCAAAGATCGACTATCAACTCCTCATGTTGATAAGCAGCAAGTGCCAGGCCTTCTTTTTCATGCGACAAAATTTCGCTGCATAAAAAATACTTTTTAATAACTTTAATTAAGTAATTGGAATTTTTTTACTTATTTCAAGCAACAATTCAAAAAGAGTTTCTTCTTCAGACTGATCGATTTATAGACAAATTGGAAATAATTTTCTGAGCAAATTAATATATTTATATTTCAAATTATGATTATCATTGTTTTTAGTAATAATTAAACTTTATCTTCAGAAATTTAGCAATTTTTTCTATTAATTTGAATAATTTCTAAAGTAGATCAAATAGTCCAAGTATTGATTTCATCTGTTGACGATATTTTCCATAAGATCTATAACTGATCAATGAGTTATCCTTTAAGCTGAAGGACAAATGTACTTTATCCTCACATTTTTATTAATATTTTGATCTACTAAACAATCAATAATGATATGATAATATTTGTAAAATAGATAATACAAGTGGTAAATATATATATATATATTGAAAAAATATAATATATATACATTATTCTACAGCTTGAGATAAATATACTTTATCCTACAGCTTAAAGGATAACTGATTGATTAATAATGAATAGCTAATTTGATTCACCTGAAAATTTGCCTCACTTCTTGAACTTTCTGAGCTGTTGTTCCATTCGATTTGCAATCATTTTTTGGTTGTTGAAACATCCACCCAATTATTAATCCGACTGTTATAGCAATGGCAGCTCGTCGCGCGCCCATTTTAAGCAGACTTTTCTTCAGCCATAACAGTATATTTTTGATTACTATTTATTGTACATCAAATATACTAAGTTTAGTCAACTTTTAGACTTCTATTATGACAGTTACGTTTACAGTAACGCCTAATGAGTAAGTTTTGATAAGTAAACAAACTGAACTTACATAATTTGACGTGATTTTAAAGAACTTACCGTATTACTAAGTAATAATCCCTAAACAGTAACTGAGTAACATTTGTTTCCAACCAATTTTAAAATAAAGAATGCAAAAAGTAAAATTGATGGATAACAAATTTAACCAAATTAACAGTCTATCATACATCACTGCACAAACTTTTATTCACTACTAAAATTTTGCTTCACTTTACATTGAAGTGCAAATTGTAATGTATTGCTAAGATCATTTATCGATTTATGAATTTGAATTTTAAAAAATTAAATTTGAATTTGTGACAAGACTAAAAAAGTAAATTTTATTGGTAAATCTTCCGTAAACATATAAACTTCTAAAAATGATATTTATGGTGCGTTCAATTTATAATGCCAATTGCTATGAGAGCATTAGAATTCTATCATTTTTTCAAATTAAAAACATAAAATTTATTGAGTTTTTAATTAAATCATTCCTTTATACAAAAAAACATGCTAAAAAAATCAGCAGAAAAGTGAGAAAACGATCTGTGATTACTTACTTATTGGCATTATAGAAATTATATTTAAATTTGTACAGAAAATTACAGAAGCGCTTAGTTTTCTGCTTTCAATACAAATGTGAATACGATCTTTTTCTGTATCAAAATTGAATGAAACGAGTATATTGTCTATCAAATTTATTACATTTTTATTAATCTTTTGATCTACTAAACAATCAATATTAATATGATAATAATTGAAAGATAAATAATACAAGTAGAAAGTTAGATGAAGAAAAAATAAATGCTTACTTAGAAAGCTTTAACTAAGATGAAACTAAGCAAGCAAAATAAAAATAAACAAGAAATAATTCACGGTAGTAAGCACTAGAAAAATACGTGATGCACGTGAAATACGCTGTTAATTTAATTCGAGCAATACTAAAGTCCATTTAAAATACTGCATATCTAATTTAAGATTTTACATTCTCTTCGCTCTTACAAATTTTGCATTTTCCTGCAAATATTTTCATTTTATTAACAAAAAAGAAAACAGTAAAAATAAATTTGTAAATAGTACGTATATATTTATTTAACCTTTTAGCAAATTGGATATAATATATTGAATAATTTTTTCAGCAATGTACGAACGTTTGTGGGTATTATAGCTATTTAATGAAGACGAGAAGAGTTCAGAGCAATAATAATCGCTAATTTCAGAAATATTATGGCGGTCTGAACCTGTCGTGTATGGCTCAATGCACACATTTCAACTGATTATAAATGCCAATGAACTTTGCTCTATCATTCATTTATCGACATATTCTCAGTACATAAATACGTAAACACATATATAATCGCGTGTATATGGCACAAGCGCGAAATGTTCTGCGTGAAAAACAAAATGCGGTAAATAACACAGAATGAGGCAAATTAATTTTGCGGTAAAGCAAGCACTGAGAACTAAACAAAATAAATAATTAAGTATAAACTATTAAATAAAAAGTAAATTTAAGTAAATGCAAATTAATTGAGTGAATAAAGTAATTAATGAATAGAGTAATTAATTAATAAGTAATTAATTGTGGTTTAATCTAATTTATTCTGAAAGTTTATTACTTTTTAAGTCTCACAACTGGAAAAAATGTACGGTGCAAATAAAAGTTTAGCAATACTAATTTGTATGAACTATTTGTATGAATTGTAACAAAGGTCACGATATTAAGTTATTCTAATGACTTGTAAATTGTTATTTGCAAAATGAATTTGCAAATGAAATTATAAATGAATGGATTTGCAAAATTTGAAAAATGTAATTTTTGCAAAATTTAAAATTTATTAAATTACTGCTTTTGCTTAACATATGAGCATTTTGTAATATTTTATACAAAATCATTCAATTAATATTTAAATTTTAGAACATTTCATGTGATTAACTTTAAGCATACTTAATGAATATGAGTATGAATATGAGTATGAGTATGAGTATGGGTATGAATATGAATATATATGCAAATTTTATAATGTTCTATACAAATCGATAGCTATCAAAATAGACAATTTTTTAATATTTTGAAACTTTTTCATTTTATTGTTACACTGAAAGTTTCAATGATAAGCAAAGTAAAACGAACTAGTTCTCATTGCTTTTCGTGGCATAATGCCACGCAATCATTTTATTAATAATAGCATTACATACCACCACAAAATAATGATAATTTTCTTTTGCATATTTCACATTCTCATGCTCACTTTCATTTAAATTCACGTACGTGTCTGACTTCTTTCTAAAATAAACGTGTTCATATTTATTAAATTTAAAAATTCTTACTTCCATTATTGTCAATCTATTATATCATAACACTTAATTACAAGTAATTGCTTCATTTTATATGCAAATTTAAGCAAAAATACTTATTTCTTGAATATTATTATGCAACGGATTTAATATAATAATAAGAGGTCAAATTTTATTTGATACTTTTTTTCAAAAATTTTTATCGAAATGTAATATACACGTTATACAATAACTACAATTTAGTATTGCTTATTTTTTATTTCATTATTATGCTAAACTTTGATGTATTTGTTTTTGGTACAATTTTCATAGTTATAAAATGATAATTCTTTGCTTTTCATTTAATTAAACTGCTGAAAGTAACCATAGCAATGAAAATGTAATAATAAAAAGCAGAAATATTTTGCTCTTAATAAAAACAAGTTTATATTGATAATTATTTATTAAAACTATATCTATATGTTAGAAAAAAAATAACGATATTCAGTGATAATGTATTAAATACATTAATTATTCGTTAAAACTATTATTAAAATAATTATTGATTGAAACTATAATTAAGATAATTATTTATTAAGACTATTATTATCATCATTATTAAAACTATATCCACATGTTGGCAAAGAATAATGATATTCAGTGATAATATATTAGATGCAAACAATATTAAATGGCGATATATTTGAATAGTAAACTCACTTCTTGCAAAAAAAACTTCGTCGATCTCTATTATCTTGCATTATTAAATAATTTACTGAAAAAGATGCATGGCAAAAAAATAAATCCATTAGCTTAATATTAAGCTATATGGAAGTTTCTTAACTTGCGCATATTAATTAGCAATTTTTTAAATATAAATAATTAATAATAAAAAATATTCTAAAAATTTTTTTGTTTTTCAGCTAAAAAAGTTTAAAAATGGAATGGTTTGCAGTAAATTTAGAATGGCACAATATAAATACACCACTTTACATATGTTTATGGCTTTTATCAATTATTTTAGCTAAAATAAGTTTGTTAATTTTTATAATACTTTTTAATTTTATCATTAAATAGTGTAAATAAATAATTATTGATAATTGCTCAAGTAAACATAATAATTAATTCTACGCTGTTTTCATGCATTTAATGACTTTATAAAGTTGTCATATCGAATTAGCAAAAGTAATCAAATTTATTGCAAAAATATTTGAAAAGTTAAGATAAAACTATCGCTTTAGGGCAAAGGTCAATTTAGAGTGATAAATTATGTTTATATTTACTTCTAAACTGCAGCAGTTCCTATATAAATTCATAATACAAGATACAATTGCGAATAACTGTATTATTAAGCAATAAAAGTAATTACTGTAAAAAGTATTACAATAAATATAAGAATATGCCTTTCTCTAGCATGAATGAGATATTTCTTGTAACAAATTTCTAATCGTCAGTTATTTAGAATAATAATAATTATTTTTAAGAATCGTATTTATCACAGTAGTAAAATGCGTATTTCTTACAGTATCTCATGCAAGCAAACAATTAACAATTGTGCCAGATTCCGCTCTCTTAATTGTTGTTGGCTTTGCTGCAGGAAGTATTTTGGATCGTTTCTGGTCACATGAAATATATTTACATCCAGGCAAGACTTAAGTTTGCAAAAAAATATTTTCTCAATAAACTGTAAAAGTTGTTAACTGTAAAGAAAGAAAATTTTACAGAATTTTTTTTCTTGTATTTGCTGCCACCGATAGCTCTGGACGCTGGATATGTGCTTCCTAATGAAGCATTCTTCGAAAACTTTGGCACAATCATACTGTATGCAGTTGTAGGAACTATATGGAATATTACTGCCGTAGGTATAGTATAATTTGCATATTTGAAGTGTTTAGTAGTGACCTATTGATTTTTATAACATTATTAGATCAATGTTAAACAGAAAATATATTGCATTAATTAGATATAAATTTTTAATAATAAAATTTATAACTTTTCTAGAGGAAAATATTGAAAAGTTTAAAAATTATACAAAATCTTTAATAACTTGTTTGAGAAGTTGTGAAGCTGTGAAGACAAAAATGAGGTCAAAGTTGAAAGTTGAAGAAGTTTTAGGATGCTTTCTGTTAGCGCTATCTCCGTTGTTCTCCACCTCGATTCCTTGGACTGATCTTTTCCTCTTTTCAACTCTTATCTCCGCGGTTGATCCAGTTGCAGTACTTAGTGTTTTTGAGGAAATTAATGTCAACAGATTATTGTATATATGTGTTTTTGGTGAATCATTGCTCAATGATGCCGTCACTATTGTAGGCTTATTAAATTACAAAAATTTGCGCAGAATATTTTTCTGACAAAAAATCAACACAAACATAAAATATTTTCTGACTATGCTTTGCAGTGCTCTGTAGTACAGACACATATCCTTTATATTATTTAATGCAAGTTATTTGCTGATTTTAAAATAATAATAATAATAATAATAATAATACAAACTAAAATAAAAAGTGCAAAGTTTTTGAGTGTTGGAAATAATTCAAAAACAAAAAAAGGGTAAAGAGGTCAAATAATTTTATTAAGGTCATGTATCATGCGTTATCAGCTATGGCAAAAATTGGACCAGAAAATTTAGAAGCGCAAGACTTCATCAAAGCTCCGATATCCTTTATTTCTGTATCATTTGGTGGAATTTTAATTGGAATTGTTGGGGCAGCTCTTACTGGTTTAGTTACTAAGTAAATATTTGTAAAACATTAATTTTGAACATAATTCTTGCGCAAATAGCTATATTACTTTATAAATTATTATTATTAATTCGTAGTTTTTCATATATTCTCAAGATACTCAACTTTTTTAATAAGGTGTATTTTCATTAAGCTAAATCATCATTACTTTGTATGAAAAATTTTTAAGAGCTCATTCGAAAGTAAACTTAAGCTTTCTAAATTATCTTCAGTTATCTTCATTATCTTCAAAATTCATGCTAAGAGCCGTGACCTCACGTAGTGCTCTGAGCCAAAACTAACTAAGAAAATGCAAAATAAGCAAAGTATTATTCTTAACTTAAGCAAATGTATAAAAGTTAGAGATCTTTAATTTGAATAAAAATTTAGGTATTCAAACAGTCAGCAAGTACTTCAGCCTCTAACTTGTTTATTAATACCTTACCTTTCATATTTAATTGCTGAAAGTGTTCATTTGTCAGGAATACTCGCGTAAGTTAATTTTATCAAAGTATTTTAATCAAAAACAGTTTTAAAAACGCCAAAGATTAGAAATTTGTAATTACTTTCAAAGAGTTCTAAAAATTTTCTCATATTTTTAATTTATTATGTTTAGTCCTTTTTAAATGAATGATTTTCTTAGCTAAAATTTAATTTTTTAATTAAATAATTTTATAATTTAGAAAGCTTAATTTGTTAAACAAATTTCAAAAATTGTTGATTAAATAATTACTTCCACTAATTCAAAATACCAATTACAGTACAAAGCAACTAACTGTATGAAGTTGTTTTATTAAAATTATATTTTCTATTAAAAGCAAAAAACTTTTTTAAATTATTTAAAAACATCAAAATAAAAGCATGAAATTAATTTAATCAGGAATTTAAAATGTGCAATTTATGCTAATTTTCAGTATTGTTCTTTGCGGCTTAATGATGAAGCAATATCTTGTTGGTAATTTATCTGAGCAATCTTTAGTAACTACACGTTACTTTCTCAAAACACTTTCCACAAGGTCAAATTAAAATTTTTAATTACTGTAATAAAAAAATTAAAATTTATTAGCATGTTTTTATTGCATATTATACTTTTTTATTCAAAATATTCTTTACGTTGAAAAATTATTAAAATCTCTTTGAAATATTTTTACAAATAATTTCCAAAAGTTATTAAAAATATTTTGTAAAACTCTAATTTATTCTGAAAAAAGATTTTTGTGATTAATTTTTTATGCATTAAAAAATGAAAAATTTTTTTAGTGGAGAAGCAATAATTTTTGTATTTTTGGGATTGTCAACAGTATCAAAAAAACACGACTGGGATTGTATATTCATAGCAACAACATTAACTGCATGTTTACTTTGCAGATTTATCGGTTTGTCTACAAAAAAATACCTGCTTATTCTTTGAAGATAAAAAAGTTTGTACTGACCTCTAACCTTTGATCAATTTATACAAGCTTCAATAAGCATTTAGCAGTTATTTTACCTTTTAAGTGATTACTCTTTTTCTTGCTTTTTTTTTTTGTTGATTCAATGTGATTATGAAAAAACCGTCACCTATAAAATTCAAAAATTTTATCTCAGAAAGTTTAAGTATTTTAGGTACTTATTTTTTGACATATTTGGCAAATAGCAACCGATGTCAAAAGATTAATCTCGTAGATCAGTTTATTATGGCTTACGGTGGATTACGTGGTGCTATTTGCTACGGTTTAGTGATGACATTGGATGAAGAAGCAGTAGAAGCTAAAGAAATGTTCGTCTCTACAACTATTATTGTAATTTTAAGTACTGTTTTCCTACAGGTAAGACTTAAAGAAGTGTAGCATCTTAATTTAGATTTCATTTTTTAGACATTTCACCGATTTTGCAAATATTTCGAGAATTTTTTTCAGAAATCTGTCCAAATACAGAAGATATGAATAATATCTTAGATACTTTTTATGCTATCAAACTTAAATAATCAGAATTAGCAATTCCTAAACAAATATTTCAATGGTCATTTCCAGTAATTAATTACCAACTTATTATTAAAAACCCATTGTTCTATAAGGCTAAAACAGATATCAGAAATAACTACAGAAGTTTGACGATGGAACTTTTAGGAAAATACCTGAAAATATGTTTAAATACAATGAAGATAGTTCACGAATAGCATAGATCGAATAAACTGCGCATTTATCCCTTTAAAAAATATGACTGTGCTTTTGTAAAATTAAATTAAATTTGATTGCAATTATGCTAATGAATAATCAGTTTTACGTTAATTAATAAAAACATTTGAAGGATAGTTTTCAGGGTGCAACCATACGACCATTAGTCAAATTATTAGACGTGGAAATTGAGCCTGATCACCATCGCACATTAGTAGAAAGAGTTGCTACAGATGTTTGTCATCTTTTTTGCTTATTCTTATTCTAAGTAATAAAAAAGTTTTGTAATGCTTGAATTCATTCTTCTACTTTATAACTTTGTAACGAACATAGAAATTTATTAATAGTTAGGATTCAAAAGCATTGTGTATTTTAGAATGAATTAAAATGATTGTATCACGTCAAACTGACGTGTTTTACTAAAATTTTTATAATTTTTGCATTTTCGCAAAAGTGATGAATTTATTCTGATTAAGAAAGTACGCAGTTAATTCAATTATAATATAAATTATTTAATGGTCACTCATGTCTGCGAGTCGAAACTCCAAAAATTTAATGTAAGTTTAAGTAATTCAGATAATAAAGAACGTTTCTAGGTCCGTGATGATGTAATGGGAGGCATTGAAGCTATTGCTGGAATTCAAGGACCACAATGGGTATATATTGTTTATGAATTTTATTTTATATTCATCAGAGATCTAAATTTTAACTGTCAAGTTTAAAGGTTAAAATTTATTTTTCAAGATCTTAGACTATAAAAATTTAACATTTCTAGAAGCGAGTATTTCAGATGCGTCGAAAAGTAATGCACTTCAATGATGATTATATATTGCCCTGTATGGTACGTAATCAAATAACTCGCGCAGATAAACTGATTGCTATTTGTGACAAAAAAAATGCTCTAAAAGCACATGAAGCAAATATGGCACTTATGCAGTAGTAAGCATTTTAAAAATTGACAATATTTTATTTGAGAGATCTGTCCGTTAATTCTGAGTATAAATCAAAATTCAACATATACTGTAAACATTTTGAAAAATTAAAATTTAATACTAAATATCTAATTTTAAATTCATTATTAAATACTAATTCGTTCATAAAAATGTTTTGAAAATCTGAATTTTAAGATTAAGCATGAATTATTGTAATAATTAATTGCACATTACTTATCAACAATTTTTTACATACTAAAATTTATTTTACCATTTCAGTAAAATTGTACATACTATAACTTAATGTTACTGTACAATAAATTTTATATTCTGATGTGCACTATTTCAAAAATTACAGTTCAAAAATAAATTTTTTGTTTTAATTAGCTGACGTGAAGTACGAGAAATAGCAAAGAATATCAAGCGTCGTTTGCTTCAGAATTTTTGAAAATAATTTGGGAGCAAAAAATTTGATTATTTTTAGCCTTCTAAACTTATTGTAAAGTGTCGTTTGTTTGATTGAAAAGTAAATTAATAAATCGCAAACAAAACAAACAAAAAACAATCAAAGGGATACAGTAAAAACATTAAAAAATACCTTAGACTATTTGTAAAACTGTACAAATGTGAAACTCTACAATGGTACTTGTGAGCATCTGCGTATCATTGCTAAAATACAAAATTTGTATTCTTTACAGTGCACAACTTTTACTTCATCGTTATTGAATTTAATTTACAGTAATCCAGCAGCTGCTTCTTCTGGTAATTCTGAAAGATTCACACGGAAAAAACCTGAAAAAAAGTCGTACCATTAAATGCTTTACGTGGGAATTTCGCTACGTCATAAATAATTTACAAATTTTTTTTAGATTAGAAATTGCATTATTTTGATTTAAAACATCACATTGACACTGAAGTATTGTTAGAACAGCTTTATACAAAAATTAAATTCAAAATTTTAATGCCAAGAAGTTGCTAATGCTTTAATCTCTACAAAAGTAAGCATTCTCAATGAAGTGTAAAAATTAACAAAGGTAAAAATTATAAAGTGTAAAAATTAACAAAGGTATCATACGGTAATATTAAAGTCTGTAGCAAAATTAGGTAGTTTCATACTTTAATTTTAAAATTATTCAAATTAAGCGTACCAAAATCACCCCAATCTCGACCCCATGTATTCATATAGAGCCAGTATTTGAGACCACTCTCTTCTCCCCAACCTAGTAGTTTTGCACAATGTCCATAAAGTTCTTTTGAAACTGATGAGCTTACAGTATGATAAATTCCTGTAATTCACTTGTTTATAATTTCGTCTAACTTTTATTTAAAATTGCTAATCAAATTTATGATAACATTTTTAGCAAGAAGTTTTATTACTATTATTATTTAGAATAAACCTTTAAGGATGGAGTACTTTTCAAACATTACAATATATTTTAACATATGTTACCTGAATCGTAATGCTGAAAATCTTCATGGGCAGTGAAACACGCCAAAATCGGTCCATATAAGTAAATCTCACGTTTTATCAGCTCCACCGGATCATCTAAAACTTATTAAATGTTGACTTGATGGAGTCTGTAACTAATATCTGCAAACAATAACTGCATGTTGTCGACCAAAAATTATATATAGTTTTACTAACTGGCTGAAGTAAGAATTCTGCAAAGGTCAGTTTACTTATTCCGTCAAGTAACGGTTTATACATTTTTGAGGGTATAAAAATAGAATGTAAGTCTTGGCATTTCTTAGAAGTCTGAAAAAAAAACTACCATTGTTATAAGATTTTTGAAATTAAATGAATACATATACAACATATAGTAACTCAGCTTCTAACTTAATACATTAATATACACTATCGAAGTGTAATAAACAAAAACAATTGACTATTTTCATTAAATGTGATTCTTACTTTGTTTTTAACGTATGAACGTTATTAATATCGAAGTGTTTAGTTATCATATCATATTTATTAAAATAGTTCATTTATGGCGCTGACAATCTAAAAATATTTCACTAATCATTTAAAGTTATTTAATTTACGATAATTAGCTACCGTTTCCGACAGCACTACGAACAGCTTCTTGTACTGAAGGTATTATTTCACTGCTTCCTTTTTCTGCTCGAATCCAATATGCCTTTCGACCTAATAAAAGCTCAAACCAAAAATGAATCATTTCCTTAACATTTTCTATGATTAACTTTATTCATGAAATGTTTTGTTCTTAATTATAAGATGTCAAAGGTTAAGTTAGTGAACAAATAAATGCTCAAAATCAACAACTTAAGCACTATCTCAGCAAAAAACAAACAATGACTTCAATAATAATAGTATACTGCTTATAAGGTCATCTTTGTAAGTGACTCCGTAAAGTGGGTGACAAGTATATTCACAAGCTGGTGTAGTCTTTTTCTGATAGTATTCGAAGGAACAAGGACCACCACAGTCTGGTGGTACGGCGTACGGTTTACAACCTTCAAAGCTACCATAATCTCCACCTGAAATAACAGTAGCAATTTTGACAATAACATTTTCAAAGTCAAAAAAAGAATAATTAAGAAGACCTGTGACAATGCCGTGAGTACGCCAGTAATTAAATGTGGATAAAGCCCAATGTGATCCTTGACAGCTACAAAATTAATCTTAAGTTTGAAAAAGTTGAAAATATGATTTTATTGTTACCTAAAAGACACATTTTGAAGTTAAGAATTATTTGAAAGTCAAGTAAATTTTAAATATTTAAATAAGTATTTACTGTAATAATCACCAGAATGTAAGTTTAATTTTTAAAAAATCTTTTTAAATGAGTGAAGTAAAAAAACTTAATAAATTTCAAACCCTCCACATTCAGTGCAGCATGAGACGAGATCTTGTGCTGAGATCTGCTTTTGATTACTGTAATTTGTTGATATGCATAAACGATCTGACATAACAGATGCTGCAGCTACTGCCTTTAAAATATAATATGCAAATTTTAGGCTTGCTATTTTTTAAAAGTTTATTTGTAAATAATTGATTATTAGTTGAAAAAAGCAGTTTAAGAATAAATTTAGTCCAAATAATAACTATAAATAAAAAGTTGCTATTTTTACTTATGCGCAAAATTTGACCTAATAAGGTCAAAATTTAACTAATAAGTTTAACTTACCCAACATGACCCACATCCACCTTGATTAAACACTTGATGTAAGGACCAACATAAGGACCAGCGGATACGAGCATCAAATTGCTGTGGCAAACGAATTTTGTAGCTTTTTAACATCTGAAATCGAGAAAACTTTAATACAAGCTAAATTCGACTAATAAATCGATCTAAATTACTTACTAAAATTATACTTTTGTTTCGTCATTGTAAATCCCACCTTTATATGGTTAACAGTATCAGCAAGCAGAGATTCTTCACTCATCATTTTACCTTTTTCGACAAGTTCAGACATTTCTTGCATAGTCATTTCTGTATTTACTGCTCGAGAAGCAAAACGATTGTATTTAGCCTAAAAATTTAATCTTTCCTGCTTTAGCTCAGTAATGTTTCTTTGACAGTACTGTAATTAATGTTTCTTTAACAATACTGTAATTAATCAGTTATTGTAATTATTAAAGGTAACTGTTAATCGTTGACATTACTTTTATTTTTGTCATTATTAATATTTACAGTGTGATATCATTATTGTTTTGTTATTAACATTATTATTCTTCAAATACTAATAATAGCAATAATTAAAAGAATAAAAACTGTAACCTTCCAAGTGGTGTTCAAATTATTGACATAAGAAATAATGGACAAATGATACAATTTGTCTTCTTTATTATGATTACGCCAAATTTTTGAACCCCAAAAATGCATTCCATTTTTAACACCGATTGTCTCAATTGCTATGCAAACTAGAAATTAATTAGTTAATTAATTAATTAATTAGTTAATTCAGCTTATTTGTAAAATACGCTAAAATTCTTTTTCAAGATGAAATACCAGATTGGAATAAAGTAATAAAAGTTACCAATAATAATTGCAAGAAGTGTTATGCCAAAACCCAAAATGATAAGTACAGGGATAGTAGATCTATGCTTTTTACTAGTACAACAAATCATTATTTTAGATTTTGTTGGTTCTGCAATATAAGGATCCATGTCAGCAATGTGGAACGAAACTTGATCTTTTGATTCTGAAGCAAATTCAACGGTATATAAATCAGTAAAGCATTTAACAACAAATAAATTTTCTACACTCATTGCTTAATTTGTAAAGTTTATTTATTTATTAATGAATTTAGTTTCAAACAAAAATTGATGCAAAGCAAGTAAAAATATCAATCATATCGTAACCTTGTGCCATTGGCTCAGATTCTTCGTTGTATTCACGCTTCATTCTGATTTCTGTGTAGTCTTTCAAATTTTATCATTTTTTTTAATTAGTCAAAAATATTGCAATGCACCAAAAAATTAGCCTGAAATCAAAATTTATTACATTTTAGTACTCAAACAAAAATAATAAAAAACTAATTTTGTTTCAAATTAGTAATAAAATAATTTCAAATTCAAATAATGAAAGTATAAAAGATTAAAACATTTTTAATGCACTCAAAATTATTTCAATTCGAAATAAACACAGCAAAAATAGCTACTGCAAGCTGCTATTAATTAGTAAATTGCTTCAAATTAAGTATTACTTTGTTTTTGCATACTTAAATACTTATTAGGTATCGCTTGTAAACTCTTTATTAGTAGCCAATTATTAATTATTAACATTGCTTGTGTTGTTATTACAATTATTATTATTGGCATTCAATATTTATCGTCTTAATATAATAATTTGGGGAGTAAAAAAAAAATTATTAAAAATAAAAAGCAAAGAATAGCTAATTAGCTATATAGAACATACTGATAAATTATTTATTCATAAGTTCAATCAAAAGTACTGACGTATAACTAATTTATGCATTAAGTATATGTAGTAATGAAGTTAAAAATTCAGTCATATATTTTCATTTGTTGTATTCAATCATTTTCTAGCAATTGTTGATTTCTGATAATAAATTAAGTAATTTGATTATCAAATATAATTATTTTGATTTTGAAAATAATTAGTTTCATACAAAAAAAAAGTTATCATTTGCCAAATATTAAAAAAAATTTTTTACTTAATATAATTAAATCTTTTTTAGAAATGAAATATTAATTATTTGCTTTATATAGCGTCAAAATGTAAGAAATAAATAATTACTATTAAATAATTGAAGAGAACTTATCACTATCTCAAGCAAGTTAATTCTCTATCGTATATTTATACTTATTCATGTTAACTTTTACTCATTCAAAATACTTTGCTTTAAATTTCAACAAAAAATTAAACATTTAAATACAACTACAGCTACTTTATTTGCTGCAGTGATTATTTGAAAAAGTATCACTTTAAGGTATGATTTGAAAAATGATTCCATTCTGTTTAATTTTCGATATTCACAGACATTTTTTAAGAATTCAAATTGGGAAAAAAGTTGCTAAATAATAATATTTTACAACTTTTCTCTAAAGATTTTCTTAAACTTATTTATCAAATCTTAGAAATTTTTACTTAGCTACAGATGTAAAATATTATTATACTTTTGCATACTAATGAACTAGTGATAGGGATCAAGGCATTGCATACTAATGAACTAGTGATAGGGATGAATGGGATTAAATACTAATAAATTAATAATTAATAAACTAATAATAATCTAAAGAAATGAGTACTGATTGCGCGTAAAAATAATGTGTATATGGAAAAATATTATTGGAATTATATTTATTATTAAATTTAAATGTGAAAATTGGAATTATATTTTATTATTACTTTTAAATATAAAAATTAATATTATATTTTATTATTAATATTATTGGAATTATATGCGGAGTTTGTGGTTTGGTTACTTTTTTTTTTTAGTATTTTTAGTTAAAAATTGGAATTATTATATTTTATTATTAATTTCAAATATGCAAGATTTTAGAGGTAAAGTTTTGTAGTTTGAAAATGACAAAAGGAAAGTTTCAAAAATAGTAATAATAGTAATGAAAATTAAGAAAAGTAGTAAGATTTAAAAAAATTTGATGAAAGAAAAATTGAAAAAATGTAAGCAATAAAATTACTTAAGAGCGTAAATGAGAGCAAAAACGATTAGTATTGTAATATTTATGGAAATCGTTTGGAAATTTTCGCAAAGAATAGATCGACCACAGAGTTCAAAGTTCATAAGAAAGAAAAGTATGAAAAAAGTGAGTAGCAAATGTTTTAAGTAGTAGCAATTTATTTAAGCATAAAGCAACGATCAGTGTGCTATTCACACGAAGGTACTATGCAAGTCAGAAAATATTATTTAGTATTACTTTTAAGCTAGAAGTAGTGATAATTTAAGGCACAAAAATTTTGATTGCAAAGAAGAAAACTCATATTTTGTGATAATAAGCCTTTGAGGGAAATTTTATTATTTATGCATAGGCCTTGTGAAGATAGGCCTTGTGAAAATAGGCCTTCACACTTTTATGTATTATCTTATGTATTATTATTATGTATTACTTTTATGTATTATTATTTTTTATATAATTAAACTTTCTATTTTTATTTAATACTCACAAAATATATGACAAAAAAATTTAAAATGTTAATTATTTTTATCAAATTTTATCAATAATTTATGTGATTAAAACTAATAGTGCCGAAAATATTAAAATAATAATAAAATGGAATGCTTAATATTTAATTCAAAGTGAACAAATAGGGTGTTTTTTAAGATAAAAATATTACAAATCCCTTAATATAAAATTATACAAATCCTTTAATATAAAAATATTGCCTTTGATAAAAAGATCATGCAGATTAATTGTGCGACTAAGCACAAAGCTTGCATAAATTTAAGATGAAAAAAATTTCTTCGAAACTCATAAATTTTTCAGTACAAATTAGCATTACAGAAACTTTTTAATGCTAATTTTGTATTTAAAATAATATTTGAATTCTAAAAAAATTTAATTCCGTGTTATTATCAAATTAAACAAACATTTAGCACTAAAAATTATATTGCAATATTTTATTCAAATACAAAATATCACACAAATTCTTTCAAACCTAAATCTTACCACCACAATAAATAATCTCAAATTTATAAAAATTATGTATAATAGCTATTCTAATATTTATGATTAAAAAATTAATCATTCAATTAATTAATTAATTGTAATTATTAAACAGCTTTGAACTTTTCAAACTAAATGAATATAATTGTTAAGTTCAGTTTTAAAGAGTTAAAACAAGAATACGTAAGTAATACTGCTTATTTGAATAATCGAGAGTGAAGTGATAAAACTGATAAAAATGATTTATTAACACGGCAAGGCATACTTATACTTAGCACTTGTAGTTATGCTGTGATGCGATGTTCTGCCTAGGCGAGATATTTTCAGGCCTTATTATGAGGCATTTTGGAGACAACAATGCAGATAGAATTGTGTACATATATGTATAATGTGTGAGTGTGTGTACCAAAACATTATATCTATAAGAAGTAATGCAAATTTGTATGTGTGTACTTCAAGAAACACTCACATACATAAAGCATTTATTTATATTTACTAAGTAAAGCTTAGTTGCAGTTTGCTAGATTCTAAAATATAGAAATAAATTGATGTAATAAGCATTTCTGTCAATAATATATTTACTCAATTGATATTTCAAATTTGTTTGAAAATATTACACAAATTTAGTTTTAATAAAATTAAATAAAAATATTTAATTAATGAAAAATTATGCAAAAATAATTACTATAAAAATAATAAAAATTAAAAATATAATTTTTTAAATAGAAATTTTATCAAGTAAAAAAAAACATAGCAAATGAAGTTTTAGCTAACTTCGAAGAAGTAATTCGTCTAAAAGTAATGCTCTTAAATAAATAAGATGTTGATTGAAAAATTTTATCAGAACATTTGGATTTATTGACCAAAAAGGGAAATGAAAAATTGTCTTGCATAGAGCAGCTAAAAGAGATGCATATGCAGCCACTGAAAATAAGGCTAATCTCAATAATGTTATTAGATGCAGAACTGAAGCTAAAAACTCACTTTAAAGGATTATCTTGCACATACTCTGAGGTTAAAGGTCAAAAAAGTAAGGATTAATCCTTGAAAAGTTGCAATTTTTTTGCATGCAAAGTTTGCTTCATGCAAAATATTACTCTCAATCTTTTTTTACTAATTGTATTTCTTTAAAAAAAGTTTAGCTTATTTCTTTCTGTGCAAACTAGCAAGTAGTGCAAAAAATAATACAAAGATGCAATTCCATAAATTAATTTATTCATTTTTAATTCTAAAATGTGCACGAGATTAAAATTGTCAAAAATATTTTGCTTGGAATTTTTCAGGAAAGATAATACTGTTAAATACAGACTAAAGATATAATATAAAGTCACATTTTATACTGTCTGATAATTGTTTACCTAAGGTTATATTTTTTGAAGGTCAAGTCTTGGTTAATCTCATCACAGTATGCTTTAAAATTAATTATACGATATTTGTTTTTATTGTTAGCACTCAATTATACTGTAGCATTTAAATTGTTGTTGTCATTTTTGTTTGTACATTTTTGTAACATTATGTAAGAACAAAGATAATACAGTACACTTTTGTAGTTATTATAGTTATTATTATGCTTGGTTAAAATTACAAGGATGTATTTTTCATTAAGTATTTGCAAGTTTATTTAATATCCAATAAAACTTTAAATTGTTAGCTATAGGAAATACATGCAAATCAAATAACAACAATAATTCAATTCTTGCAGAAAAGTAAAAATAAACTTACAGTATTCACTTATCTCTTAATTACAGAACAATTTGTGAACTACAAAGAAATGGTAAAATGATAAAGTTAATCACACTGTACTTTCTAACAATTCAAAAACGGTTAAAAAGTACATTCATTTTACTGATCTCAATCATACTGCATTCTGAAAGTAAAGTTTTATGCAAATTTTGTCATGTTGATTTTATTTTTTATTTTTGCATATGCAATTTACTTAATTTACTTACGCATAACTATTATTCGATTAATGATTAATTAAAGATATTCTGATATAAAAATATACGTATATGGCAAGGTTAAGTGCTTCATACAATTATAACAAAAAATTATTCTCCTTGCTTGTTTATCCATGGGTTCCCTCTGCCATGATAATAAGTTTTATCAACTGAAATTGATAGTTTCGTTGAAGTTTTTGATGGAGATTGTTGTACAACTGGACCATACCGATTAAAATATGGCTGATATGATTGATATCGATCATATGGATAATAGTGATTATAGGGTCGATAATGGTTAAGTGGCGGATAATCGTAGTTTGAACCATATTCCAAAGGTGAGTATAAATTATAGAGATTACCTAAAAATTCTGTTTAATGTCAAGAATTTGATCTAATTAACCAAAATAAAAATTCAGCTCATTTTTTGTCAATTTGTTGGAGTAAAGCCAAGTTATTAAATCAGATTAGAGAATAAATGGAATATAAAATTATAAATACTTTACCAAAGTATCGAAAAGTTTATAGATTTTAAAAAATTCGACTTAATTAGTACCTGTACCACTTGAATATGACGGAGTATTAATCCAAGCATTACCAAAGCCCAAATATGGCGCATTACCAGTTATAGCTTTTAAGCCCCAAATCCCTCCTGCTGCATTTATACTTGGAATTAAAATCGCAGCACTTAAGGCTGTCAAAAAGCCTAAAACAAAATTTTGCTTGTAATTCTTCAAGCTCTTAAATCTTACGTGTGAATACATGTATGCTTAATTCTGCTTGATTCTGATAGAAATATGAATTAAAAAGGAATTTGAATGCATTTATGAAGCATGTTATAACTTATTTCAGCACATTGTCCTCTTATAATAAATGACTATTAATTTTTCAGATAAGTTATGAGAAAATTCTGCTACAATTTAAAACAGAAACTCAAACATACTTTTTTTTAATAATTAAAATTCGCAGAAAATTGCATAATTATTGCAAAAACTTAATATTAACTATTCAAAATGCAAAACTAATAATTCATCTATG